ATCATTAGATTTCTTCACAGTACTTTCACAGTTTTTTATAAGTGAATAAATTCTTCATTTCAAATACATTTATAAATAATTTAATGAATATTTAAGTATTTTGTCAAAGACAGATACGCGCTTTTTGCAAGCACATGCATAAATACCCATACATATTTCCTATTTATCATTTCCGGCATGTGCAAATCTTTAATTTCTGTGCATTCACTATATTTTTTCGTGTAAAGTAATTTACACTAATTTAGCATACACCCGAAAGTTTTACATAAAAAATATATATGAATATAATTTGAATGAAATTATAAGTAGTATTTATTTTTAATATACCCACTCAAAGGTCAGTTTTTTCCTTCAAAATTCCTCCACGACGGCATCTCTCTCTCTTTAGGCAGATAGCCCTTGCCTGCGTTACTCTATTTAATAAAACTTAATCTGACCTATGTGCCTAATTACAAATATTTTAACATACATAATTTTATATTTACATTTAGCCATCAAGTTTCAAACTTTTCAAATCTTCTAGAAAATAAATTTTGGCAGATCTCTTTTAGCAATTTTCTTAAAATCTATATTTTTGTAGTGCAACAGCTTAGAATTTTATAAAACAAATTCATAATCAAATCGCTGTTGTTAGTTATCGAAAAATAACCAAGATGTGATTTTTGCGTAAATGTCAGTAAACTATACAAATTGCTATTATCCATCCCACTATGAATGTTTCTTTCATGCGAGAGTGTCCCTTTTTCGATTTCTATGGAACTGTCGTGTGTCGAAATACTATCAGAATCGTGTCAAGCGAGCTTCTGAATGTAAACAAATAACACCCCGTCTGGTGACCCAAGCTTCAAAGCAGTGCTTCACTTCTAGCGCGGAATGGCCCCTCCTCCCTTTCCTACCTCCATGGGGTACGAGTACCCCACTTTAAAGATCATTGCTAGATGCGCACTCGTGCTGCTCTTTTAAGGGATATCAGAAACCCCTATACCGACAGTGTTAAATTGGCCATTTTCGATGTACCTTTTCTTAAAATCTGCTGTAGATACAAGCTTGAAATTTTTTCTGTAATTAAAGTATACCTATCTGATTATACTGAAATGAGCTTTTGAAACATTTTGAATTTTAGAGTAAATTACAGGATATTTTGTTAGGCATAGTAAAATTTAGCACTTTTCTCACACAAAAAAAATTAAAAAAATTTTTTTTAGTTATTACGAAAAGCTCATTTCAGTAAATATTAGGGAACCTAATAAATAAGCCATAAAAAGTTTAGATACCTGTGAGCAGTAATTCCTGAGAAAAGGTACATCGAGTATAAAAAAATCACGTTTGGAGAAAAACGCGTTTTTATGTAAAAATCCCCATTGATCAAAGCAGTAGATGACAAATTAAAACTAGATTTTTTTACAGTTCTAATTTTCATAGAGATTAAAGAAGGGTATTTTTAGAAAGATAAAAGTGTAGAGAATTTGAAAATGCAAAAATCCGAAATCACAATTTTTTGAAGATTTGGGGGTTCCAACTCACCTTAAGTAGTTTGCACATAAAAATAGGTAGGAAAGAAATGAAAATGTCTTTGCACAGGATTTCATAACGGACCGGATTGAGCAATTAGAAGGACCGGCTTTTGTCCATTCCTGGTCTAGGCATTTACCTCGCAAAATCATGTTGTAATCTCTTATTGGGTATCAATTTCGAAAATTTGTGATTTCATTTTTATTAATTTGTTCTTGTATAGCTTTTAATTTACGGTAAATTAGCTTGAATTCTGCATACCTTTAAAAATAGTATTATCCGCTTGCAGCATATTTATTTCATAATCAATAAAAAGACAGAATTAAAAATTCGAATATTCAATGAATTTCCTTGGTTTAAAATATAATTAACTGACATTCTTTAGGCAGCAGTATTTCTAAAATTTTCAAAATTATCAAAAAATAATCATAACAGGGAGGGGAGTATTTTTAATGTAATATTATCCCTAATTTGGGAATTACCATTCTTAAATTTCATCTAAATGAGCGAGCGAAAATCCTAAACATTAAATTTTAGCATTTTATACTTTTTGTTATATTACTTTGATTAATTTTCTTACATACTACCTTGATTTTTATTTCATTTTATTAATTAGGATAACTTATATGATCCTACAACAGAATTACCACTACTTAATGTTTTTCACCTTGGGAGCTATTAATCTTACACGCCTTCTTTTTTAATTGCGAATTACCTTCAGATACAAATGGAAGGGCGTTTTGTGTATCTTAAGCTTTGTCAACAACGGCAATTGTAAAAAAAGCAACTCTCTAGCTAATTCACTGGGTTTATTGGCAACCACATTACCAATATTGCAGTGTATTTATTCGAGTTTAATGTAGATCAGAGATTCTTAAATTATGGCTTGCAGGTCTTTATAGGTCGTTTTTAAAAGTAGTTTTGTAATTTTTAAAAGTAAAATTTTATTCTTTAATTTTATTCTTTATTCTTTAATTTTATTCTTTGTTTTTATTCTTTATATTGATGTAAGAAAAATTTTTAATTAAAAATTGTAATAAAAGTATCATACAAGTTAACCGTTAAGAGACCAGCAAAATACACGTCATTGTGAAAAGTATCCCCAAACTCGTAAGTTTAAGAACCATTGGTTTAGATTTATTTCGTAAAACAGCTAACAAACAAACTTTGGGAAAAAATGCGAAAGCCAAGTTCAGCGTTTTTCATTCATCGAGAAACCCAGATTATCAGTTTTATAAAATTAAGGCGTTGAAAACCACACAGAAAAATGCCTACGTTGTTTGTAAAACAGAGATTATTTAAAATATATCGAAAATTTAGGGAAGAACAGTGAGGTAAGACTAAAGACAAATGGACCAACTGCTTCAAAATTGCCATCATGGTTACTCGATCCCACGGCCTTCAGTACCGTTACCGAATTATTCTTATTTGCTTAAAACAGCAAGTTTCGTGTAGCGGCAAAATCCGTCTAAACTATACAAATAACCTATTGTTAACTCGCAAGGAAAAGCAAAATATGCTATTGCATGAGATGGCAAAATTCCTTAATCCAGCACTGCACGTAACTTCAAAATTAGTCCAGGATTAAAAAAATCCAAGAATATTAGCGTTATCTGATTACCGGCCAGACTAAAAAGTCCGGTCTTAAGATCACCCAAACCAGTCTGCAATTCTTCATCGAATTCCATCAAAAGATAAAGAAAAAAAATCATTGAGAAGACGTTGGTTAGAAGGAACGTTATTTCTAGAGCCCCAAAAATTGTTTTAAAGAGAACTGAATATAAGTGGTAAACAAGCTAGCAGTGTGTATATCTTTCAAGAGCATACAAAAGGGCACTGATTCTATGGATGTGATCTTTCCTGTCAGATGGTCCAGCTCCAAAGGAGGTACCCAGTGTGGTTACAAATGCCAATTAATTACAGATGTTAGGTGTTTACACGGCAACATATTATAGTGCAACAGGAAAGACCAGTTTGTTCGTAAGCACACTCGTGCGCAAAATTAAAAGAATTGGCACATCATGTCGAATTTCCGAAAAACTAACGGACAGATTTTAATGAAATTTGGTAAGCACGTGCATTTATACCAGAGAAAGAGATGTACCATTCAAAAGTCATTTTATGTATGCATGATTATCAGTGAAGCTCATAGAGCAGAGATGTCCAAAGTCAACATTGGGATATCGAACTGAAAATGAGTCTAATATAGGATATGGTCTCCTCTCACAGACAGAGAGGTCACGTAGCGTGACGGCATACTGGACAGGAGAAAGGTAAAGAGTCCCTATGGCAGTCGATCTCACACCTGCAGCAAGGTAGTTTTTAACTCTGGTGTGGTTCTTGGAGAAGGCAAGATGAAATTACTCTCCAAACAAAGCAAACAGCCCTAGCCTCCGGAACCTGTAGACTGTGAAATTAGTAGACTACGACCTGTTGACTGTGAGCCAGTGTCAGCATACAGCTCACTTAAGAGCTGTGAAATTGTAGCAATATTGACTCGCTGCCCTGAAAGTGCCAAATAACGATCCTCATTCGTCGTTATGGATCTTGATTGACCTTTTTCGGGTTTTCTCGGTATGGATTCAATGTCCTGAAACTGTTCCCACAAATGGCAGACGACACTGGGCATTGAACTCTGTAGCGACTTGCGCTTGTGACTGCTTTGCCTCTAATTTGCCAAAAATTCCCCATCTCATTCCGTCATCAATACGTTCGTGGCCATAAATTTTACCTGAGATCTTATAAAATTTATCCAACTCTTGCGATAAACACAACGAATGTCGTGAAGGAGTACGATCACACAAATCGTCTAAAACTCCTCGTGTTGTTATATTTTCTCCATAATAACCAGCTCTGCAGATAGTCACGTGCAGGCTTACGGGGGCATAATTAATATCTTTAGTTCAATACTTTTCATAAAAATAGACATAATTTGCAAATTCTGTTAATTTTGTGCACTAAGTGTATTATAGTCATGAATTTTATCCAGGTGTTGAAGGAAGTAGTCATCACTTCACTACGTTATCTGTTCTGTTACTTTCAAGTGGTATTTGCAGTTTAGTTGGAATATTAGAAATTTTTCACTTAAGAAGTAGTAAACTAGATCAAAAGGCTTTAATTTTAAGGAATTAATATCACTTCATTTTTAATGAATTGAATCACCCATATGCTGCACGAATAACATCAGTTGTATTTGGACTGTGAAAATGTGCTGACTGCATGGACATTTTCACACGTATAGTAAAAATAGGTAGGAATAGAAGGAGATATTTATGATATATTTTTAACAAGGAGATAATATAAATATGGACCGCTTCCTCTAAATGCTCTTCCGTGATGTCAGCCCACCTTAAGCAGATACTTACACTACGATAATCAAATTGAATTCTAAAGTGTTTTTCAGCACTTGTTGCATTTCATTTGCAAGCGAAATTAATTTTTAAACAAATCTGTTTCGGAGATTAATTATGTACTATTTTTGGTTGCAGGGAAGGCAACGATGTGGACGACAGGATATCTATAACTTATCGACAGCTGTTGAAAATGGTATGCAAGTTTGCAAACGTATTGAAGTCCAAAGGTAATATTTTAAAATTTTACCTCATTATATAGATACGGCCCACCAGCGGCCGAGCGGTAAAGACGCTGAACACTGGTAGTTCGGTCCGAGGTTCGAATCCCGCGAACGGGCTGGCTGCATGGGCGTTTTCGTGGTTTTCCCCATGTGTAACGTGTATACGAGCCAGTTTCCCTTAGAAAGTCCTCCACGAAAGGCATCCCTCCCCTTAGGCAGATAGCCCTAGTGTGCTTTGCCATAATTAAATACACCAACACCATTATATAGATATAAAATGTTATTCTTAATCTAAAAATTTCCGGAAACAATCAAAAAGACACAGAGTTAGTCAGAAATTGTAATTAAAATCAATTAGTTATTTTTCTATCTCAAAATCTCAGCCATTGTGTGTTCTATATTTGTGTGCTCGGATAGAAGTAATATATTTTATGAATAATTTTTGTTTGTTTTTAAATTTTTTAAGAATAAGAAATTTCTATTCATAGTTGTTCATAATAAACTGTGAGTTTTTGATAATACACTACATTTTAGTGTTTTAAGAATTACTTTCATAATTTAAAAAAATGTTTTGTAGAAAATGGTACATGAGAATTTATAAATAATCACATAGGGTTATTTTTTTTTTTTTTTTTTTTTTTTTTTTTTTTTTTTTTTTTTTTTTTTTTTTTTTTTTTTTTTTTTTTTTTTTTTTTTTTTTTTTTTTCCCGTTTTTAATTGTTTCGTTTCGAGAGTCAGTAAAATGTTATGCCTTAACATTATCGAAAATATCAAATATAATATTAAAAACAAAACATTACGCTCAAAATGTTAAGTATAATATTAAGTGATAGTAAGTAAGCGTATCGAGCCCTTTACAAAGTCTGAAATAATAATTAATTCATGATATAATAGGTAACAAATGCTATCATTCTTTTTTAATTTTAAGTGCATGTAAACCTATGTAATTTATTTTGCTCTTTGACAGGTGTAAGGAAAGGAGACAGAGTTACGATTTATATGCCAATGATCATCGAAGCAGTCGCGGCCATGCTTGCTTGTAGTAGAATTGGAGCGATTCATAATGTTGTTGTAAGTTACTTTTCAAGATTTATTTTGCACGTTACGGTATGTTAATTTTAAATTAGGTGAGGAAAATCTTCTTAAAAATAAATGCAGCAGAAAAATCTTTTACTGTTATGTATGCTAATAACATAAGCATGTTTTACATAGGATATTCATGATTACATTAGCTAATTACAGCAATGAGCCCAAGTGGCGCAGTGGCTAGCGCGTCGCGTAGCAGCACCACAGGTCCCGGGTTCGATCCCCGGGTTGGGGGGCAGGGATGAATCAGCCTTTTTGCGACAAGCTGACCACTTGCCTGAAGCATATGCTCATCCACCCCAGGGCCCACGCACTAGAAAGCAGATATAGTGCACTGCCTGCCATGGCTCTTTAAGGGCTGTTTGTGCCGCTGAGTTTAGTTTTAATTACAGTGATAGTTTTATGCAGTCAAATCTCACTGTATCGAAACCGGTTCGTAGTGAATCCCCGGATATAACGAATGAATTTTTGGTTCCTCTCTATATATTCAGAATTATTTTATGCAGCTATAAAGAACCTCCAAAAATATGAAAATTCGGATATAATGAACTTTATGGATAATTTCGACTGAAATAGCTTTCGCATTTTTCATAATTTCTTCTGAGTTTTTCATAATTTCTTCTGACTTCTGAGTTTTCCAGTACCCTTCTCTTTCTCTATATACTAAACAAAGGCTATTCAAGGCAGGTACAACAGACAATTCTTGGAAAACCGAGATGCACAATAAGCATATCTTAGGACATCGTACTATGCTCACGAAAATCGTTATTTATAATTATAAATGTGTATTTGGAGAAAAGAATCTAAATACTTACTTTTATGTTAAATAATTTATCGTACAAAACTTTTAACGTATCGTGAAACTAAAAAATCTGACGTGGACACCACATGACTTCCTTGTATGGCCTATTAAATTATACACATTTTTACTGCATTTCAGTAGATATATATTTCTCATTCAATTAAAAAAAACACATAAGGCAAAAATACATAAAACCTCAAAACGCTTTCATTAAATTTGTAAAATACAGAAAAACTTACAACACCAAATACAATTAAAAACACTTTAAAAAAATTCTACAATTAAAATTGGAATTTCATCGCAAAAACCAGGAAACTAGAGGGCAAGAAGACAGATTTTTCAGTGCACAAAACTGAAAGTTTGCTTTTGGTTCCGCTCGGTAAAAAGTCACTGAAGTTGGTGCAGAAACTGACTTAATTCACTGTTCTACTAAAAGTTTCAAGTGGAAACAAATGGTGGATTTAGGCTTAATACTACTTAAACAACTTTTAAATTGTTGATAATTCTACAACTATTAAATGCAGATTCAATAAAGCCATAAAATCTTTAACCGGGGAACATAAGAGCAACATAATTAATTCTTTTCTAAAGGAAAAAATGCACAATTTACCAACATATAAGAATTAAAAAAAAAAAAAATTGAGCTCACTGAGCCGGGTAACAGAATGGGTATGTATATATACAATTACAAAACAATTTTTAAAAACAAAATATAAACATGCCTAGTTCACGCATTTAAGCTGCTGAAAAATTAGCAATAAAGACACAAAGTAAGAATTTAAGAACAATTCAATTTTTGGTCTTTTTGAAAAATTAGTTCTTAATTTCTTACTTTATGTCTATATATATATAGGAAAAAAAATTAAAACCCTTCCATTAAAATATTAAAAGAAAAAGCCATTAAAATATTTAAAGAAACCTATCTTTTTTCCAGAAACACTTGTAAAATGAAATTCTTAAGAAAATTACAAATAATTAACTAAAAATGTTTTTTAAGAAACAACAGGAAAAATGGAAAAAATTCGAGTATAAAAATGTTTACAAATCCTACAAATTTATTTAGTCCTACAAATTAAAAACTAAACTGAAACATAAATTTAAAAAAAAAAGGTACTACAAATTAAAAACTAAAAAAGAAACATAAATTGAAAATTAGAATCTAAAATATAAATGGCCTAGTAAGGCTAATGATCAAATAACAAGTAATGCAAAAGAATAAAAATATTCAAACAATTTTCAGAGATGAAAATTTAACTTGAATGTTTTATAAAAAAATAAATTATTAAATTCATTTGAAATAAATTATTTAAAATGGATTCAGAAGAGGGGGGGGTTTTTTGGTCGGGTGTGAACGTACGTACGCACAGATTTCACAAAAAAATCTCTTTTAAATCCATTTTACAATCCGTTTTGGATAAAACAGTCCTTTATTCTGCCCGTGCGTACCGATGTAAAGCAAAAACATGGTTCAAATGGATTCGAGAGTGGTCAAAATAGATATTTTAGTTGAAATGTGATGCCCGAAATATTTAGCTATTACAATACTTCCTTTACTTTGTATAAGGAAGTAAAAAGAACAAGTAAATAAGTAAGTAAAGAATTGTACATAATAAAAACTACAATTCGCTATTAACATAATTTTTTTAATTAGATTTATTAATTCCTTCTTACCATATGGTGAAACTGAAAAAGAATGACAAACAAATTTAATAATTGCGCATAATAAAAACTGTAAATAACCCTTAACATAATGTTTTTAATTATATTTATTAATCATCTCTTTTGTAATAGAAGTAACAAAGCTAAGTAGTTTTATATTTATTGTTATTCGCCAATTAATTTTTACATTTTTTACTGTGGGATAATCCATTTATCTTCACAGATCGGACTCAGCGAATCAAACTGTCGGTTTCTTGAAATTCACTGAATTTAGAGAGTCACATTTCTTGAGCAACAGTTACTTTGAAACTTATCTATATAAGAAACATATTGAAATAGACACCATTCTAGTTAGATTTTAAAAAACAGAAATATTAACCAATGATACAAAAATACTTTAATTATGAAAAATTAAGGTGGAGTTTCTAAACGCTGCTCCCAATATGCTAAATTTGGTCAAAAACAATTTTTTTCCAGCATATTTATTCAATGCCTCATGACTGCACGCCCTGAATGTGTAGGATTTTTGTGGTTTTACCAAAAGATAGCATGAATACAAGCCAGTTTCCATTAAAATGGTATCCACGAAGGCACTATTTTTATGTAGCAAATATCTCTTTTTGCTTGTTTTAATGACCTAACCTAACTATAACTCTTTTCTTTTAAATCTTGAATTAGAATTTTTTAAGATAAAAGCTTTTAATTGTTCTGCGTTAAATGGTGAAATGCAAGTTTACTTAACTTCTTTGATTGCTACAATAAACAATAAGTTGTGTGTATTAAGAAATAGAAATACAGAGGCACACACAATCCTGTATGTGGCATGGGTAGATGAAATAGATCATGTAGTTAGCAATTTCTGTCTGTTGAACACATCTTGAGCTTGATAGTACAATCCGCGCTATCTCTTCATCTTGATAGTATTATCCGCGCTACAATTTGAAAATGAATTTTTAATTACGGTTATATTTAAGACAATTAGAAATTCTAATATATTAATTACACATATGCATGCATGTACATTACAAAATGTGCACATTAACTCAAATGGACCCGTTTTATTAAGTGAAGTTTAAAATTTTAGGTTATGATGCTCAAGGTTGGGATAACATGTCTCCTTTTGAAACAGTTAGAAAAGGGCAAGGAGCCATTAAAAGAAGTATAAAGAAAATGAAAACTAGAATACTCATCGCAGACTTTCATCACTGCCGAGAAGAGATTCTGCGCTTTGGAATGAATGATATCGTCTTCAATAATGAAATAATGTTGAATGATAGATTGATCACAGATATGATACATTAATAATTAGCTTGTTATGCATATTTGTGATCCTTGTGAAGTTTCATTGACATCAAGTACTCGTTACAAGGTTTATTACCACGAAGCGAACTTCTAAGAATTTGACATAAGTAAGGCGAAAGTTCGAGCAAATGTACTTTGAAGGAAGAAAATTTACAAAAGAAAGAAAGGAAAAAAGAACACGTAAAATTCGGTTATTTTGAAGCGGTGACTTTTACGGTGATTTTATTTAAAGTTCAATTTATAAATTCTTCTTGAATGCAATAAAAAAAGTATGGCCACGCTGTCTATCTTTAGAAACCTTATGTTTCAGCATGTAAATTTACATACATTATTTTAGTTTCGTGATTTTTTGCAATATCGACAATTTTTATTTGCAGTTTTTTAATAAAAGGTATTAATAGGAATATGCTTACAGATTAAGCAGTTTCTCGCTGTTAGGAAATCATCTGAATAGATATTTATCTATTTATTTTTTCACTCAAATCACGAATTTCATTATGCAATCTATTGCTATTCCTAAGAGTATTAATGTATGTACAATTCTGTCGAAGAAATGTTTATAAATTTTATACTGTACTCATTCGCTCATTAAATTTTAAAACAAACTTTAATCATTCCTGAAGGCTGATAATACCAAAACACATAACTGACGGAATTCTTAACAACAAATCTTTCGGATTCCTTGAGGGAATTTTCTTCAAAACTGAGAGGAAGCTGAGCAAATTCTCACTGTCTTTTATAAGGCGCCGAAGCCAATCACAGGTGCAAACTTCTATCTGATGGAGAACACCTCGAAACCTTGGCCACGATAAGCCCACCCTTAGCCACGATAAAATTCGTGGACTTTATTTAAGGTTACCGTCAGACAAATGAAACATATCAGTACAACAGCGTCTTATATCACTTCAGAAGTTCTTGTTTTTGACACAGTGTTGTCCTCAAAGGCATGCTGCAACATTTAAAGGCTTTTACAGCAGAAATTCCGAAACCAAAATTTAACGCATGTGTCTTTGCTTAATTGCATTCGCCATTTTGAGAAATCACCAAAGCAAAAATTTTATTCATTAAAAACGAATTCGTTTGCATACGAGAAAACGAAATGGAATCCGGATTCTTGAACACCTTGACGAATATCCATCGGAAAATAAACTGTGCTATCGTTCGAACTCTAACGCAGAACTTTGGAATTTTGGACTATGGTGAGGTCCACTGTAAAACCATCCTTGTTTCTTTCTAATACATCCATATGAAGCATATCTATGTCTGAATTTTTATTTAATGTACGGTAGTTTATTAAAAATTGCTGCATATTCAGAGTATCTGGAATAAAAGTATACTCAGATTGACTTCCAATGCAATATGATTTTTACTAGCAACTATTAGTACATACATACTAATATACTACATAAATGATACAGCTGCACGTGTAAATGTTCTCTCAGTGCAGCAGGTATTTGAGTTTGGAACTAGCTTCCTGTTGCCGGCAGGCACAGATCAGCTCTTTTTAATAAATTTGCGCATAGCGATTTTAGTTCATTGTGCAATTTGAAATTTGTCTGGATAAATGTTAACGAAGATATGGTTAGCATACGCTCTACGATGGAAGTTTTTGATGTGATGGTGGTGATACTATTTTTATATTCTCTACATGTTCTTCACTAATTTGCTACGACTCACCAAAAACATTTCCCATTGTAAAATTTTCTGCAGTTGTATCTAAGAATTTAAATACAACTTGAAAAAAAAGAATATCCCCGAATAAAGTTACGCAAATGAAATTAGCATGCTTTTTGGTTCCATTTGGATGTTCTTTTATTTGGAACACTCCTTAGTGTATAATGTTGTACGCTGCTCTGATAAGTGAGGTGGTTAGAGCTCTAGTTGCTGTGCTGGGCTCGGAATGAAGTCACAGAGAAGGTTTTATGTTTGTTAATGTGTAACGTTCGTATGCTAAAATACTGGGGAGCTGAAAGTTGTCTCGTATGACTTGGAGGTAGGTAAAGAGGGGTGGAAAGCACACCATTCGTTCTCTCGAGGAATTCGAACACAGCTTGGTACTCTTCTGTTATTGGGACCAGATTCTGAAATGTATATATGTATGCATGTATGGATGGATGGATATGTTCATGTTTGCGTGTATACATGCATATGTGCGTACATATATTCATATACACGTACGTAATACGTATTATAAGGATTTTAAGTTTTACTAACGTTTGTTTTATTTTTAAAACTTTGCTATCCTCTCTTATTTTCCATTTCCGGTCATAATAAGCGCGAGTAGAAATTGTTTATGCTAATGAGGTTGCAAACTGTATAGGTATTTAAGAAGTGGCTTCTAGCCAAGAGAAGAGAACAGCCTTCCTGTTGCCCAGCCACGCCTGTGCTTTTCAGTCAGTTCATGTCTGTCAGTTAAGACCAGAACTTAGTTCCTGCTGATATACTAAGACGTATTGTAGTATTTGGATTTCTCTCACTACATACGTAGTGTCAAAGGGCCAATCTTCGCGTTAATAGTCTCTGTAAAGCATTTAAATTTAATTCTTGCTTAGTTAAGTTAGTTTGTTTCTTATTTTCTACGTTTTAGACCAAAAATGCTCTGTATCCCAAAGAGCGGCTGTACGCTGTGAGAAATAAAGGGTAAAGTTAACCCTTCTCATTTATGTTGTCTCTTCTACGCACACACGAACATAGCTTGAGTAAGCTCTCTGTTCCTACTCAGGACTCCAGTAATGTTTCCTAAGGCAATTAAAAGGAATAGCAGTCCTGACAATATATGCACATACTTATATACATAGATTTCTGAATCTGGTCCCGATAACCGTAGACTACTCCGAACTGTACCTTTAATCGCCTGTGTCGTCGCCCCATTGTGATACACTTTAGGTGACGTTTTTGGTAATGAGACAGCTAAATTACCATTGGGTATTGACCATTCCCTACAAATGCATTAAACTGCCATCTGAAACAAGAACAATATATAATGCTATACTGCCATCTGAAACAAGAACAATATATAATGCTATACTGCCATCTGAAACAAGAACAATATATAATGCTAAATTACCATTGGGTATTGACCATTCCCTACAAATGCATTAAACTGCCATCTGAAACAAGAACAATATATAATGCTATACTGTTAGAATCTAATATAAAAAGTCGTGAACGAAAATGATAGGAAGCATTTTATGTTTACATCGTTTCTCTCTCTTAAATAATTATTTGTGTGCGATTTAGCAGTAATCAAGGTTACAACCTAATTTTTCCTACAGACATCGTGAGAAATCAAAAATTACATCAATTAACCTTTACATGTTGCACAACGACAGGCTTCATTGAAGTAAAGCATTATATCGTCATATGCGGATTTAAGTAACCATCGTTTTTCAATAGTGTTAATAGTTTCTCCCCAAAACTGATTGTTAATTTTTCAGATTTGGTTCTCATTTTAAAAAATAATTTCGTAGAATAGTTCATCGAGGTCTTCCAACGAATGTTATTTTTCGATTATCAGGGAAGTCATTAAATAGAACAAAAACAGAAGAATTAGCAAGATCATAAAGACTTCCAGGAAAATCAGTCTGAATGTCAACGCTATGAACGTAGTAGAAATGTTTCACGGAACGTGCACGTGTAAGTGCAGTAAAAAAAAAAGTTAGCTAAGATTTACATAAATTTCTACCAAAAAATAAGCTTTAATGCAACGTAAGTAAATTTTTGCCTGGAAATATATGTATAAATGAAGTGAAAGATAGGAGAGTTTTAAGTAAATATTTATTAAAATTTAATATATATATACGAACTGGGAAGAGAGAAGATTTGCTTAAAAAGCAAATTGCGAAAATTTGTCTTTAAAACTTACAATGAAAGCATTGTAATGTTTCGTAAAAACATACGAAAATGTAAGTTATGCATAGTGTAAGGTAAAAATAAACGTAAGCATTTAACTGTTTTTTGCTGGACGTTTAAAATGATAGTTTTACTTTTTTTTATATGAAGGATTATTCATAAATTATAACCATTTTTCAAGTGCAGTTAACAAATATAAACTGCTTGCAATATATTTATTCGTAAAATCTTTAAAAATCCATTATTCTTGTTTACAACTGTTAGTGTATTCCGCTTTTGTAGGGTTTTTTGCAACAACTGCTTACCATTTTAGGCACTTTAAAACTGTTCTTTCAATTTATAATTTCTCAGAAAATTTTGAGAGTTTAGTACAATGCCAAAATGTATGATTAAATTTGTAAAAGTGTTTAAAACAGCTGCAGTTAAAGAACAATTATAGCATCTGAAGTAATTCCTCAGTCCCAGTTTACATTATGTAGGTTACATTTATCCTAACGTAGTGAAGTTATCGATATTCTAATGTTCTAATCAGGGCTTCATTCTTAATATTAGAAGTGTCGAAGTCCTAAGGAAGGTGAACAAAAAACATTAAATTAAATAATAAATAATTAATAATTAAAATAAAATATAATAAGATTAAAATGAGTAGATAAAGTAAAATTTTTTTATAAAAAAATAAAAATAAATAAAAATTTAAAAATAGTAATGAAAACGAATAAGTGAGCTCTAAAAGGAAACCATAAAAATTAAATTAAATGATAAAATAAATGTAAATTAATTGTAAGAGCAAATAATAGTGAGGATTAGAGAAAAATGAGGTATTTAAGCAATATTCTTTAAAAAATAGATAAAAGTGCATCCTTATTCTGATTTCTGATGCATTTAAAACCCTCTTGGCCAACTTAATATACAGTAAACCCTTGCCAAACATGAGGGTTGCGTCATAAACACATTGCGCGTAAGGCACAATCTCATTCCGCAGAGTTAACTTTCTCTGGAAAAAACTCGTTGGGTAGAGTTCAGCCTAAGAAAGAATGTATTATTTATACACACTTTTAATATTATTATAATTAAAAGGTGAAAAATGAAACAAATATTAATTGAAAGGATTTCTATTTCTGCTTAAAAAGTTCGCACGATACAATTATTTTTTTTTTAAATAGCTGGTGATTTTTCTTGGATAATATCTTACCCAATTCATTAAACGTTTCTCAGTAAGAAGTGGAAAGTTTTTCGATAGCTTTACTAAAATGCTCTCTTCTTTCTTCATTTAGATCAACTTCCATTACAAAAACAAACAGTTCTTGTACCTTATTTAATAATTCGTTCAATTTCTTGCACGTTAAAGGCTCTTTATCTTGTTCACTATTACTGTTTTCTCCGTCGGCTGATGATATAAAATTATCAGATTCTTCCTTTTTCAATCTCGACTTAATTCTTTAATTTCTCCTTCTTATGTAACTGAAAAATCTTTCGCCATCTATTGCTTTTGTAATTTTCAATCAACAGAAATCCTTTAAAATTGTTGGCCCCTCCTGGCCAGCGCTGAGGCCAGTAAGCATTCATTGTTTGTGAAATCACTATTTTCTATGCAAGTTTAATCATTTGTGTGTAATGTCCTATGTTAAACTGCTTCCAAAATGCCATTAGCGTCATCTACTGCGTTATTTGCAGAGATGTTAACATGCCTGTCATAATACGCTTTGAATTTTCTTATGATTCCTTAATCCATTGGTTATGTTGGGTTCTGTGGAAGAATAAAACTTTTACATTTGGATGCAATGTTGTCAGGACTTCAGTCCTGTGTCCGGGGGCATTTTTGAGAATTAGGAAATCTTTAAAACACGGGTTTTGCTTTTCCAAGTAATACCAAAGTTCTTTAATGAATGAATTTTCAACCAGTCATAAAAGACGACTATCGCTAAGCCGTCGAAGCTGTGCAGTGTACCACGTATAATCGAAATTCTCACGTTCTACAAATTAAATGGAGACAATTAAGAAAACATGTATGCGCAAGTCCCCGTTCGATGAGGGTTACTATACAGTCAATACAAATGCTGCCTTCCGATGCGATCGCATTTCGACTTCTATCAATAGTAATTTTTTAAATTGAGGTCTCGGGGAGAGCCATCTTCTTCCCGAGTACCTACCTCTGATTTTGGTCTTTTATTGTACACGACAATTTTTTATTAATATTATCATTCGTTCTTTTCTGAATACTTAATTTTTCAAAATATGTTGAAATACGAATGCCACTAGCAGAAAAAATAAATAATGTAAAATATTTTATAATTATCTAACAATATATGCTTTTTGCAGTTTGGTGGATTTTCTTCAGATTCTTTAGCTGAAAGAATGCTGGATTCTAAAAGTTCTGTTTTGGTCACAGCAGGTACGTTTTGATTAAGTAAAATTATATATAATTTCGATGGCACATTCTGCCTTATTTATTCACAGATATCCTTCATATATAAGGATGCGTTCAAATTGTGGCGTGCTAGCTTTCTTATCAGAATGGCTCACATTATTATTAAAATAGATTTATTAAGGAACTAATTATTTACTATATATTAAAACATCCAGCTATAGGCTGAGAAACATTACACATGGTCATTACATTCGTTCGCGTTTTTCTCGTCTGCCGCTTCTCAGTTTTGCGTCCTCTACGACGACCTCTAACGTCGGCTTTCTTGCAACACCATCTGTCGACGATTATACGTCTAAGCATCAAACTTGTCGTGAGCACAAGATCTAATCGTTAATCTAATCTAGCTAGCGACAGCTTTTGAAATTAAACCAGAGCTAATCGAGTAGAGTATAATTTCTGCATTGTTGATCTTCGCTCAGATCTGTTGGGATTCGCAATAAATATTAAATTTCTGTAGTTTGTTTCCAATATATATTTGCATTTAAGAAAATAAGCAGCTGCTGTTGGATAATTTTGATAGACCAAAGAGGGAAACAAAAATTAAATATCGACACTCCTAAATTTTCTGCGTTAAAAATGGACAATTCATTTAAAATTAACATGGATACGTAATGCCGTGAGCCCTCTCAGCCCGAAAGCGATGTCACTGTACTTTATTACAACTGGTCATACGGTACGTCAGTTCCTGCTATTGAAGACATATTTATAACAAATTTGACTGTTATGTCAGGGATCTTACGGTTTAAAAACCTACCAAGGAAACTGTGCTTATGAAAGTTGTATGATGAGTCACTTTCAGTACTAGTAGATCCAAGAAATTATTTATTAAATTTTGAGCACAAATGTGTAACTACGTACCACACACCATGCTAGAAATAGTTACACTGCCCAGTCATAGCTGAACCAAACATTTTACGAGGGTTAAGTACCTCGTCGCGAGCTATGTTCCAAGTCCCACGTTGCGTGGGCGTAAAATGGAAGCAGTGGCCATCTAAGCTGACGTAAAGACTTCCGTTTTTTCCAAATGCCCCATGTTCCTTTGATGCAACTTTGATAAATATGTGTCTCATAACTTGCTGATTATTATCATTTTTTGGAGTCTACTACTGGAATAATTACCTTGTAATATTACGTAATGTTATGAAATATCCAGTAAAAGAATGCAATATTTGTTTCAGATGGACTCTGGAGAGGAAACAAACTCATCAATTTAAAGCAGCTAGCAGATGGAGCTATTCGTCAGTGTGTTTCAAAGTAAGTTCCCTAAATTTCTGTAAGGAGAATGATTTTGATATGAAGTAAGCTGTAAATTCATTAATCTGTGCTATTAAACATTGAACTAATGGTTTCCAGGTTCACAGAGACGGGTGAAGCAATGAGAGATTAATGTACCTAAAATAGGCTAATTGTAAAAATAATAATTAAAATGCTAACTTATCCTTAAAGAGCATAACTTTATTGTCACTTTACAAATACATTTCATTAGTTCTTAAAATTGCTTCAAAATGCATATATATTCTCTCGTTTCTTCTCTTACAAAGTGAACAAGAATGAACGCTAACATTCCACCATTCTTATTATTTTGAGAAACATAAATAATTTTTTTCTGATTACAGAAAATTGGCTTAAGTTAGGCAAATTATTCGAGAGCTAACTAAGTTTTGAAAAGCATATTCAACGAAGACTTCTTAAGGAAAACTGACTCTTATTGCAACAGGTATGCGGGAATCCGTAAGAGCTGTATTTAGACAACTCAATCAATAAAGGAAAATCGAATCTTGGACAAATTACGAATCTTAAATAGCCTTACCCACTTAGCTATTGTTGAACTTAATCACAGATGAGAATATAAAAATTACGACGAAATAAGACTGTTGAGAAAACTTCTGAAAGAAATAATAAAAAGAGCTGAATAATGTAAATTTGTATCGCCAGTCCCAGTAGGTATAGAAAACCAAAATAATAATGATAATGGTAATGATAATAATAAGAAGAAGAAGAAAGAAAGAAAATAGGACAGCTAGGTCTTTGAGGAAAATCTCAATACTTCCCCCTCTCATATATAATCAGCCTCAACTACTCAGTTAGCAGAATAAGCCGTCTGTTAAGTTTAAAATATATTGTAACTTAATGTATGTCATCGAAATAACGGAAGTAGAAAAAATCATCTTCGATTAATGACTTTTTAATAAATGAAAGACAAATAATGAGGTTTAAAGCATCTTGTCTTAGAGAGCTATACTAATTTTACTAGCAAATAAAGCATTTTTTGAGCAGAAAATGGCAGGATAAAAAAAGTAAACGTAAAAGAAATAAAGGGATAAAATGCAGGCTGTGCAATGTCGATTTCTGTAGATGGTAAAATTTATATATCTACTTGATTATAGAAATATATATCGGCTACTTGAAATACAAAGTATTAAAAAAAAATCTGGTGTGGACACTATGTGACTTTCTTGTACGACCTATTGAATTATATACATTTTTTGCTGCATAGCATTTAAACTTATTTCCTTGAATTTCATTAGAGATATATTTCTTATTCAGTCAGTTCAGTTCTCACTTTGCGGCCTGGCAAAAATACATAAAACTCAAAACATCTTCATTAAAAATTGCAAAATACAGAAAAACATAAAACACCAAATACAGTTAAAACAGTCACAAAAACAATTTTTACAATTAAAATTAAAGTTTCGACCAGCAATTCGACCAGCGTACAAGAAGACAGATTTTTGGGTGCGCAAAACTGAAAGTTTACTTTTGGTCCTACTTGGCAAAAAGACACTGAAGTTGGTGCGCAAACTGACTTGATTCAGTATTCTACTAAAAGTTTCAAATGTAAATAAATGGCGGCTTCATTGGGCTTAGTATCCCTTAAAAAACTTTTAAATTGTTGATAATTCTACAACTATTGCATGCAGATTAACCAAAGGCATAAAAACCTTAAATAAAAGCATAAAAACTTTAACCTTAACTTGTAAAACAAAACTATGATTTACACCAGCATTAGCCTCTTCATTCCCTCCCCTCTATAATAAAAATAGCAATGCCTTTTTCTCGACTGCGCCATTTCTAGATCAGTCTGTATCATATGAGTTCCATAACGCTGATAACGTAACTAATTCGGAGCCTAAACCGAAACTTTGACGCAACTAATTCGGAACTTAAAATTTCGAGAACTGAAACCTTTCTCTTGGTGATGCCACACTGGATAACTGCGCACTTTCCTTCTACCTCTGTTTCCTTTAAGACGCTGCCTTCCGACTCTCTTCCTATAACAAGGGCATCAACAATGTAAATGTTCTTTAACGCACGATTAGAGTGCCAAATAAATTGTGGTTGCAAATGTCAATTGAAATAAAGATGAATACTTAATATGCCTCGACTGCCAAGTTTGCTGTTCATTACAGATTCAGCATTCTGCGCCATCAGTGCTTCTGTGTCAATATCGCAATGTCTTTTTTCATTACAAATATATATTTATCTTTCGAGTTTGGGAAAGGAGTGAGGGAAATAATCTTCTAGCAGCGGTGAAAGGGGTGGGTGGGGCAAAAAAATTTGATAACCCCTGAGCTATCGCATTCTATTTAGCACAGATTTTTATTAATTAGGTTTCAGTCTTTGGGGCAGAGAGAAGAAAAGTGTTTTGAGAATGCATTATTCCTTATTATGATTTCAAGATACAAAACAGTTTTGATTTCAGTTAAAGACAAATTTGCAATTTTCACTTGTTTATAAATGGTAAAGGAGCAAGTGCGTTTTATTTTAATTCCAGAAAGTCATTAATCGTAGTTATTACGTTTTCGTTTTCCAGCTGTGTTTGGAGAACGTAGTACTAAGATCTAACCTTTTCCGACTTTTAAGTTGCTTTTGATTCTTTTCTAATGCAGACTTGAGAGACTTTAAAATAATAATATTTTACATTTACATCTATGAAAGCCTGGAAACCCAGAGTAAAGAAGAATATTCCGATATTTTATTCAGGAAAGTTTTTATATAAAAAAATTAGTATGGGAAATATATGCATAGAAATATATAGCTACAAAAATTTTTTAAATGCACATAAGTACAATTTAATGTATCTTAACTAAATTTTCAAATTAGATTGCACTTTAACAAAAGTTGTGATAATGCTGTGGTGGTCGTTGTATTAGTAACATTAAATTTGCAGTTGAAGCGTTTCTGAAGAAATGCATAGCTGATTATGAATTATTTTCTACGAGTAATAAAATGTTAATCTTTTAGGCATTTACAAGTGAAATGCATCGTTGTCTGCCATATGGGGGACAGCCTCAACAACAATATAAACGGTTTCAGCACTCCTCCGAAAGCGAAGCGAATGTCACCAGATCTGCAGGTAACTCCCATTCATAAATAAATTAAAACAGTTTTCATAAACTTTATGCAGTCAACTCAAAATCGAACTTCATCGTGGCAAGGAAAGCAAGACTGTGTCTGTCTTTGGCAAGAACCTTGAGCTACATACAACTGACAATACGACTTCGCTCAGATCCTCCCCCCCCTTTTTGATGAAGAGCACGCCGGGGGATATGGGTCCGAGAGTCTCCCACCGCTCTTCCCCTACCATCAACCTCTCGAGAGGACTTCGGCTCGCCGCATATTTAGAGTGCCCCCATACCGCACAGACACTATTCATTTACAAACAACCATGACCTCTTCGGGATTCGAACCCAGGTCCTTCGGTACCTTAGTAGTACCCTAACCTACTATGAAGTTATTTTAAAGATTAAACTTTCGAAAATTCAAATTCAGTTGTTAATAATATTTTTCTGTTCATTATAACATGGGTTACTCCTCTCTCCTGCGTTTCGTTAACTGCCCTCGCACTGATTTTCAGTTAGCCATGGACGTCGTCCCTGCTTTTACTCTTGTGAAGTGGAAGTTGACTGTACATCTCTCCGTTTCTCTGTGTTATAGACTTCTTAAAAAAAAAAAAAAAAAAAAAAAAAAAAAAAAAAAAAAATATGATCGCATAATATTACAAGCAGCGTTCTTGCGTTCTTCTAATTAATTATAGAATGTTTTACTTCCGAAAGTTTTATGGTAAAAAAAAAGGACAGAGAATGTCTTATTTTGCTCTTTCATCAAAACACTATTAAGATATTCGATCCCAAATTTTACAATTTAAAATCAGATTTCTCCTTAAAATTTTATGATGAACCCATGAAATCAAGGCGTTAGAAAATGCAATAGAAGTGCAGTAAAAGCAATCTAAGATCGTTGATGTGCAAATTATAAGTAAACGCAGGATTCCTACTCCCCTGGAAGATTCCGAAAACTAAGTATTAAGTATATGTTAAGTATATGGAAAATTAAGAAAATGTAAAAGTAGTCAGGGAAAGTAAAAAAAAATGCAAACATTTGTTTCAGAAAAGTCAAAAATCAAAACTTTTTCCGAAAATTCTGGAACGTTAAAAACAGTACAGGTCAATTCTTTAAAATAATAAAAAACTCAAGTGTTTTAAATACTGTAATGTTTGTTTAATTACGGTAATCTTTGTTTCACTGCAGAAACTATTTTACCCGTGTCATGCGTGACTCAATTTTAACAAATTGTACCTTTCATTTCCACTTGCTTATGAGCTGTTGTTCATTCCTGTCATTATATATGTAATTGTTTTGTCAACCCTATTTTTAGAAGTATAACTGTCCTTCAAAAATAAGTAGTAGAATAATAAACTATTTTCAGAATGAACAGTTTTTCCAGAATTTGATATTCCTTTAAATAGCCTACCTACTTTCTATTCATGTTCGTATATTCATATGTGATTGTATCACATATTTTCTGTACATATTTCTTTCATTTAATTTAAAATAATAAGAAGAATAGTATAAAAACTGAATTAAACTTTTATAATATTCTTGTTTATTGCATGTTAAATAAACATATATAATTATTTATTTACTCATCTGACATTATGTTTGGTCATGAAAATAAGTCCATTTTGTCTCGGAAAATCTGGGAAATTAAAAGTTGAATATCAGAGGGAATGCTGAAATAAAATTCCAAAGATAAGAGGCGTAAATATAGAGGTAAAACATATTGATCAATGTTAAATAAATAAAAATATAATGTTATGTAAAAGTTAGAAAATAACATAGCAATTATTAATATTTTTACTATTTTTGCAAGGAATATACGATATGTATCTTTTATTGAAGGTTTAATGGAAGAACTTTATTCCTTAAATTTATAAAAAAGTAAGAAAAGAATTTAATCCCACTCTTTTTAGTAATGCAGTTCTATTACCTAATTTATTATTTATTATGGCAGATTCCTTGGCATCCAGATGTAGATAGCTGGTGGCACGAAGAAATGGCCGCGGCTTCTGTGACCTGCGAACCCGAATGGGTAGAATCTGAACACCCACTTTTTATCCTTTATACTAGGTAAGGTTTCAGTCTGAAATAGGGCGAATGCATAAGTGTTCAGAAATTAATTATTACATTATATACATTAATTTTCTAAATATTTCTTTTATAAGCATTTTTGACACACTCATTAGTGGATGTATAAATTTATAAAAAAATTTATTGAAAAAAGCTTTTTCTTTTCCCCCTTTTTTTTTCTTTTTTTTTAAACTGCATCTCGATCAATTTAAAATTTTTTTAAAAGGGTTATAGCTTTCTGAGTACATATTTTCTGGATACTGGTTGCGGGCAGCAATGTAGCCTGCTATCATGAGCATTTGGAGCCAAAAGAAATTATAAATCATGAACGATTTTTGTAGCTCTGAATAGACTAGTTGTCAGAGTTTCAGGTTATGGATTACTGACACCCCGGTCTTAAGCACTTCATAGCTCCATTGGCATGCTCCTAGAAAAACCTTGGAGTAAAGACAAAATCATCGAAGATGGAATTCAAGTATTTTATTCTTGATATTTTAGTCACTGTAACTAAAGATTACTTCCATCACTTTATTTAAATTCGTTACGTGCAATCCTTAGAAAAGACAGATGGAAAAATTCAAAATCTCAGATACTTGTGAACCAGAAAACTACCTGAACAATGAGAATGTTATATTGTTCAAGAAATTCTTTGAAATGGAATATAGTTAAAATTCTCCGTTACTATCATGAACGGTGCAAATCATGAAAAGGAAATATCATGAAAGTGTGCAAATGACTTTGATCCGGATACGAGATATTAGAAGTTTTCTTCTAAATAATAAAATCATTAGCCATCTAAACTAAATACATTTTATCGCGGTTTGTTTATGTAATGTTCAGAATATGGAAAGGAGGTGAAAGAGATTCAAAAATTTTGGATTATCTGAAATAATTTTTCATTGGTCTCTCATATGAATGTTTGTTGTTTCGTATTAATTAGGTTTGGTTTATTTGATTATGGCAAAGCACTCGAGGGCTGTCCGCCTACCGTATTAATTTGGTGACAAAATTTAACTGCTTAAAGCTTCAGCCCTTTTTGTTTCAAACACTCACACACGCACACAAAAAAGTAAGTAAATTGCAGGGTTTTCGATGAAGCTTTCCAGCTTATAATTTTAAACGTGCTTTCATACCGTTACTAAAAATTAAACAGAAACAGAAAGCCGTTGAAAAGGTTATCGATCTAAAAAGTACATGTTCGCTTTATCGCTATGAATCTCAAGTCACCGTAATTTTATCTCGAATCAATAAATAAGCTTATCTAAATGTGCCTGATAAGGAACGAAATTCGGGATATTACTCTACACCATTAACGTAAAGAGAAAAGGAGTGTAATGGAAAGTCTGTCGTAATGAGCTCACGAAAGTATCTCGTATGACTCAGAGCACATTAAAAAAAAAAAAAAGAAAAGAAAAAGACGATAAGAGAATATACTAAGAATTTTCAATGAAATGTAAAATTTTGTACTTGTCGCATGTAACTGAACATAACTTTTGCCGTTTAAGTAGGGTATTTTCGTTACGGATTTGCAGGAAAAAATTATTTAATAATTGTTTAAGTAACGTATCATAAATTTTCATTTTAAAAAGTCTGAATTTTTTTCCAAGATACAACAAACTTCACGTTTAATAGATTAATTTGTACAGTGCACTAGAAAAAAGGCAACAGGCTTTATTTCATTGAACTTTAATCCTAAGGATACATTTTCAGTTACAAACTATCTCAAAACAAACCTCGAAAGTTTCATAAAAGTATTTTCAACATAGGCTAGAAAGCGTCTCTGTGAAAATAAAACTTATCTTCTTTTTTCATTTGCTTATTGGAGTAAAAGTTAGAATCAGTACACCGAATAAATCACCGAAACGCACATACATTTATTTCGTTTATACGGATTCGAAAGCGGTTCCAATCGAATTACAAGTACAGTCATATGCAAAATTGAGAGAACTTGCACATTACTTTGAATTTCTGAAAAAAAAATGTCTTTTAATGGACAGATTTTTAGTGCAATTTGCTAAGAATATACATTTATAACAGGAAAAGAGATGTTCTATTCAAAAGTCACTTTATGTACGTATGATTATCAGTAAAGATCATAGGGCAGAAATGTCCCAAATCCACATTGTAATATCGACCAGAAAATGAGTCTAAACTGGAGTTTGGTTCCCTCTCACAGCCAGACAGGTCGCGCAGCATGACAGTGTTCTGGACAGGAAGCAGTTGAGGGGTCCCTGTAGCAGCCGATCGCACTTCTACAGTAAGGCAGTTTTCAACTTCGGGAGGGTTCTCGGAGGGAAATGGCGAGATGAAATGCCGTCCCAAGAGACCAATTTACAAGAGATCTGGCTGGCCAATCCGCGCATCGAATATCTTCACTTTCCAGGTAATCGTCGACAACCTGAGTCCTATGTGGACAAACGTTGTCGCCGATTAACAGAAACCCAAGACCAGCTGCACCGCTGAAAAGTCGACCATACGGCTCTAAGATCTCCTCTCTATGCCTCATAGTAGTCAAGGAGCCTTTGTCAAACACATGCAAGGTTGTGCAACCGTCCAACGTAATACCTGCCCAAACCATCATATTTCCATTATCGTAATGATCCTTTTCTATGATGAGGGATGGATGGTATAATGTTCCAGGTTCTCTCTAAAAACAAGTACGCCGAGAATCAGTGTCTGGACTGAATCTCTACTCATCTGTGAAAAGCACAGTTCTGCACTGTCCAAGGTGAATTTTGTCTGAACCATGCTAAACGCGTGCTCTTTTTTGTTGCAGTGAGCGAACCGCAAACAGCGGGTTCCAGAAAACAGCGCAAGCATCCAAATTGCACTATTTGACATTTCACTCAGCAACTTGTCTGTAGATTGAAAAGGAATTTGACAATAATTATATTTTCTTCTTTTTGCAGCGGTTCTACTGGTAAACCAAAAGGTGTTCTGCATTCGACTGCCGGATACATGATTTACGCTGCCACTACATTCCAGTTTGTATTCGCGCATCAATCCAGCGACGTCTATTTCTGCACTGCGGACATTGGTTGGATCACGGGGCACACATATGGCGTGTATGGACCGCTTCTTCAGGGAGCGACAAGTATTTTGGTGAGATGTGTATATTACAATGTGTTTTACATACTGAATGTGTATTTACATTAATGTAATAACTTCTGTGTTTTCATCATGCATTTAATTAGCTGTGGCCCTACTTTCCTCAACTAAACACAGCATTGCCTGTTTAAAAATCTAAAATTCTGTGACTAATTGGTGAAATCTGCCTTACCACAGTTATTAAATACTTTAGTCACACAGTGTGAATCGTTTTTAAAGTGCTATACATCGAATCAGGAAAACAAATAATTCTTCACAGCAGTTGAGAACATTTTTAGCAATCTAGTAGGTCCAACACGTCGGAGATATAGCATTACGTAAACCGGTTGACGAGGCTTTCGTGCTCATATCCTCTTCGTTTAAGGATGTAATAAACACAGTATGCTTTCAACTTTTTTTTATTATTTTCAAATTTATAGTGAAAATTGTAGTTGTGTTACATATTAACAAGCACTGACCATGAGAAATTTAAAAAAATTAAACTGCTTATTCAAATAAAATTTTAAATTATTTTTAAGCGTTTCATTTTTAAATTTACTACTTCGGTTTTAGATATTGTTATTTTTTCTCTAATTTTTCTGCATTTCTTGAGACTACTATATAGAGCTGCGTGTGAAATTTTGGATGCTTCTGTTATTAGATCTAATAATATATTTTTATATATTTCTAGTGAAAAAACGGTGAAATCTAATTAGTTCTTTGTTTAACTATCTAAAAAAAACTGCAGATGCTAATATTAATTTTTTGAATTTTTATCAAAAATGTAAAATAAGCATGTGTAATAAATTTAAAATCATTGTCCTTAACTGAAAAAAAATTGCTTTAGCATTTTTTTAAACGTGCATGTCAACAAAAAATAGACATGCAGCAAAATCAATGTGATCTTCAACTGAAAAATTGTCCAGTTTAACAGAAAATGTGTCTAAATTTCATGCACAGTTTCACCATGCATATAAATCAAAGAATGCCTAAAATATTTCATGCATCTAACTCCAAAATAAAAAACTCTACAATGTTTTAAAATGCTGAACTGTCAAAAATGCAAAATAAGTAAAACTTATTTTTATTAGTGTAAAATACCACTTCTTTGATGACACGTATTTATATTATGCTTTAACTAGGAATTGCAAACAGAACTTTAAAAAAAGTTATTATTAAACAAAAGTTTAAAGAAAGTTTTTGATAATTTAAAAAAATTTGTATTTTAAAATTTGTTACTACACTTTTAAATATTGACATTTTTGCTCTAAATTATTTTATGCATTCTTTGAGATGAGAAAAATGAGAAAAACCTAAATAGTAAATTTTTTAATAAATAATTACTAATGTTAATGTTAATTCCACGCATGATTTTATTAAAATTATCGTAATAAACACGTATAAAAATTAAAACCTCCACCTTAATTGCAAAAAAACCTTAATATTTTTAAAACGTAAATGTCAACAAAATATGAGCATCGAGAAAAATTTTATTATCATTTTTTATTTATCATTTAGCTTTTATTTATAAAATGAACAGTTTAATAACAAACCTTTCTATATTTTACTTCTCTTTAATCGTCACATTTCTTCACTCCTGATTTTCAACTAAAAGAAATAAAATAATTTTATAAGGTATTTTCTTCCTCCATTCTGCATGCCTTCGTGGTGTAATGGGTAGCACACTCGGCGCGTATTCGAGATATCCGAGGTTCGAACATCGGATATCTCGAATCCCGGTGAGGGCATTGCTCAATTTTCACTTCTCTTGCTTCAAAATAACCTGTTGTCTCTAGAATTTAATATTCCATTAGACTAGATTCGGTAGCAGATTTCAGCCATTTAAAGGGATTATCTCTTTAAAAAACTTTAAAGACCTACTGGCAAATGTCTGTTTTTTAAAAAGACAAACTCTTTTATATCTTTAAATATTTTCTCTTTGTTTGCAGTTTAAGGACACTATCTCTTTAAATTGCTGACACTAAATATAAAAACTTCTGGGACATTATGCTCATTATCTGAAGTATCATTTGTCCATTTGTACCTTGTCAACAAAAATTACTGGTATGCTATTTTCATGTTTGATTTGAACAAACTGCTTTTTCTGATAACATGTAGATACAATAGACTATTTGTTGGAAATCAAAATTCATAATTGCCTTGCCAAGCGATGAAGGAAAGAACGGGACTCCTCAACTCTTTTACTTAATTTCTTATTATAAAAACAATTGAACGTTATGTATCAGGCTAGATCTACTTTGCTACCGTTAAGCTTAATATTAGGTTTCCGAAGCAGCAGGGCATTCTAGTCTCTAGTTTTTTTCAAGCTACTAAATTCTTACTCAGTTTTCAGCTAACCTGTTAATTAGGAAGAGAAAAACGGATTTATCTTAATATATATTGAAAGCATTTCTGGAGCGAATGTGACGTATTTGAAAATTAGCGGAACAAATGAGAGTCAAAATTAAAAATAAGATTGGCAAATTTAAGTAAATGTATAGTTTTGCTGTTTATCTAAATAAGTTACATTAACATTAAGCAAAGTCTTGTTGCCACGCAATGCTATTTGAATCTCCTTTAAGAAGTTTCCTGCTAGAGAAGCGCTAGTTTTAAGTGCCATCAAAACATTAATTTCTGCATTAGCTGCTAAGTCATTCTAAATACCCTCCATGTGCTAAACTTCCTCTTGATGAAAAATGGTCCGGGAACCCAAATTGTGGAACCGTGTCAGCTTGTTTGTTTTTCAAATAAGTCTAATCTTCGTTTCCTTTAAGTTCTGTTCTGCGTTTATGCTTCGATCGTAACGTTTGCATAATGACTAGAATGCTTTTGGAAGAGTTTCAGTTAAAGTGTATCTAGCACTTCTAGGAAGTCAACGGGTTTAATTTACGGCTACGAATTCAGACATGAAGCAATTAAGTCTCAAAATAGTCTCAGAATTAATACGGAGACCGGGAGGACAAAAAAACCAATGTTGATAACATTTCTGACATAAATGTAATTGTTCAAAAAGAATTCGTCCCTTCAGGCCAGGGAACCATTGAGACATTTTAATTTGATGTTTTGAAGCAACTGAGATCGCCAATTGTCGTAAGAGATACTACCATTGCAATGATGGAATCTGGTTGTTCCACCACAATAGCGCACTAAGCTATAGTACTTTCAGAGACAGAAACTAAACTTATTGTCCTTCTTAATCTTTTTACCCCCTAGATTTAGTACACAGAGACTTCTTTTGCTTCCAAAGCTGGAATCTAAATTAAAAAGTCACCGCTTTGATCCCGTATGGAACATTCAGCTCGAATCGGACAGCATGTTGGATAAATTTCGGTTCAAATGCTTTTAAAGAGCATATCACTTATAGTGCAAATGCAGCATCGATGCACAAATGAAAAAAAAAGAACTGTGAGTATTTGAAGAGGAAGTCGATCAGATTTAATTAGGACAATTATTTAACTTTGTCGTCTCAGAAAAATCACAAAACAATTTTACTTTTATTTGATGGGATCTTTGCCATTCTCAGGAAAATAAATTAGAAGTTCGAAAGCATTAGAAATGCGTCATACTGTGTAGACAAACTGCATAAATATATATAAAAAAATCATTGTTTCAGTATCATTTTATTCACAAAAATAAATCTACTACTTGCTGTTTTAGAACGAAATAACATTAAAAATAGAAAGAAATACCATTTCTTCAATTATTTTGTGTGCTTAACTATGCGATCACACAGTATTCAAAAGTCTTTTCAAATTTTCATTTTGAATTGCGGAACATCTAAAGGCGTTTTATAAGGAAAAAAAGGCGTTTTAAAGGCCCAGGATTCCGCGGAACATAATTTGATGAACACTGAATTGATGTATGTTTTCAAAATTTGGCTGGTTTTAAAGGCCCAGGATTCCGCGGAACATAATTTGATGAACACTGAATTGATGTATGTTTTCAAAATTTGGCTGGTTTTAAAGGCCCAGGATTCCGCGGAACATAATTTGATGAACACTGAATTGATGTATGTTTTCAAAATTTGGCTGGTTTTAAAGGCCCAGGATTCCGCGGAACATAATTTGATGAACACTGAATTGATGTATGTTTTCAAAATTTGGCTGGTTTTAAAGGCCCAGGATTCCGCGGAACATAATTTGATGAACACTGAATTGATGTATGTTTTCAAAATTTGGCTGGTTTTAAAGGCCCAGGATTCCGCGGAACATAATTTGATGAACACTGAATTGATGTATGTTTTCAAAATTTGGCTGGTTTTAAAGGCCCAGGATTCCGCGGAACATAATTTGATGAACACTGAATTGATATATGTTTTCAAAATTTGCCTGATGGTCTTCAATTTCTTCATTGGTACTCTAGTAAAAGTGACAAATGAAATCGAAAATTTTCTTATCCTATTTACTACCTCTATCTTACATCTGCTGCCAAGTCATTTTACGTGTTTAGCATCTCTTCATGATAAATTTCATTGCAGAATTTAATCATATGATACTGTGAATCTTCATTTTTAAAACTCAAAATTAAGCTTCTTTGTATTCGTTTTTTCTTAGTTTCAAGGCATTCCTACGCATCCTGATCCAGGTAGATATTGGTCTATCGTTGAATACTATAGCGTGAGTAAATTTTACACAGCTCCTACAGCTATCCGAGCGCTTATGAAATATGGAGAATCATACGTCAAAAAGTAAGTTATTTAATATAAACTTGCTGAAATAGTCCGAAAAGTTTTATTTTATAATTAATAAACTAATACATGCATTAATTTCTGTAAGTAAGTAAATGCTGAGCTGACATAATAAATTATTCTAGAAATGCCTTTTATTAATGACATTAATAGTGCAAATGTTTATAAAAATTAACAATTAGCCGTATTATTATATAACACAAACATGGTAATTTTCAATTACTTTATGACTTATATTAATACACTGTTAGACATTAAAGCCGCAGTATCAACAAGGGCAAAAGAAGACATAATTATGATTATTTTACAGATTTCTTATTACCCAATAACGAAATTATTAAATTTCAGGGCAATGTCGTACAGACGTTGTAATATTGCAGTCCTGACAACAATTCGTTCTATAGTCGTTCTATTATAGGTGCAGACAGTCTTTGTCATGTTACTGTATATGATATCACAAACCAGATTGGAGAATTTATGGAAAAACTCTGGTGAACGTGCCGATCAAGCTGAAACATAAGGGGTCATTCTCACGAGGGCTTTGCTGTCATACGTGGCATAGGCTAAGCTTCGTTGCTAGGCAGCCAGACCTTGCTACGTTACAAGTAACCACTGAAAGGCTTTTGTTTAAATATTTTAACTATTTATGTCAGCCTGGTATAAGAAGCAACCAATCGCAACTGCACATTTACGCGGTTTTACTTTCCGTGATAGGCTACAGTTTAAATTCTGTTCCACAAATGGGAAAGGACTTAATGACATTTGTGCCTTAGGAGTGTGAGAATAATGACGACTAAGTCATCATCTGAATGCTCCTTTACCTAGGTTGAAATATCGGATGTTGAGCACGACGTATGACCGCAATTTTTTTAAATGAAAGTTGATTGCAAAATGAACAAAAATAAATTTCCACAATAAACATTTCAAAATTAACCTAGAAATAATTCTAGATAATAATCTATTCTAGAAACAACTCTAGATAATAATCTATTCTAGAAATAATTCTAGATAATAATCTATTTCTTGATAATAATCTAGAAAAATCATAAAACTTAAAGGTGCTTTTTAAAGATTTGCCTTTCATGTAGTAACGTGTATTTTGAATACATGTTCCATACATTTAAATGTATTTATATATTTCAAATTAATAGTAAAAAAGAATTGAAGTTGATGAATTATTATGAAAATTAGTTTTCAATTATTTTAATGGAGTTTGGTTAACAATATTTCTTACAATAACTTTTACAAAATCAGAAATTAGCTGAGCTAATTAAAAAAAATCGCGGGCTTCAGTTCTTAAATCTAGCACCTTTTGCGTGTACTACCAACCATTTGCTTAAATTCTTGAGCTTGCCACCACACTCCTATTGCTGCGATATAAAAGACTCAGCAATGTTTAAAATGCTCTTTGATTGTTGTAGGTGTTAGCGGGCCGACTGCCATTTCACTGGTATCGAACTGGATTCCCGAAAGAACGTGGATGTTTGTAAGTGTAAAATGTTTTTGCAAGAACAGGCCTTTAAGAGTTATCGTTTGAAATTCTCCTCTCGAGAATTTGGTAATGATAAAAATAAGACATTTAGAATACGTCTCGGCCCTAGAGTAGTCTCGATCAAAATTGGAATAGAGCTGGACAAAGTGGGTACTATAACTTACAAAATGCCCAAGACCTTGACCAACGATAGACAGTTTACTGTTTCTCTTTCTGTGATGAATTTATCCAACTGACGTGTGAATCTGATCCGAAGTCAGAAGGAAATTTAAAAACAAGAAAAAATGTCTCGGAATATTTGTGTAGTTGTAGATTCATTAAGTTTATATCCGAGGAGGAATCAAGAACAAACCAACAATAGCAACTTCCTCTCAGGGAATCGAATTCCGGACTTCCTGATTGCCAACGAACGTACCTCCAATTACATTACGAAGGCATGAAATAAGGAAGCAGAAAACTCCGTATATCTCCCTCACACAAACACACACTTAAAGTGCGACTGGGAGGGAGAGGATTCATTTTCAAAATTCAGGTAGTGACGAATTATCGCCCCAAAATAACTTAATCCGAATGCCACTTATAGATTCATTAGATTTTTATCGGAGCCGGAAAAAGGAAAACTCAGTAATGCCCTCGCCGGGATTAGATTTTGGACCTTCCGATTCCTAGCCAGCTTCCAGTTACACTCCAAAAGCACGCAATAAGGAGAAACGTTGCAGGCATTCAACGTAATATTTTAGCTTTAATTATGTGTAAAAACTCTGGTTCATTATAGCATTTGCGAAGAATATTTACTCCTTCATTACGTGGAGATATTTATTGCTGAAACTTCAGAGTAGTTTTTCCAGTAAATTCACAGTCTAATTTTATACTCCTGGCTCGTTTCAAAGCTTTCCCACTACTTTAAATCTTCCAGTTTCCATTTATAGTCCTTCTAATTTACACATGGCGAATGCATTCTAAATTGCAGCAAAGTTCTTTTATCTATCTTCGCCGTAAATCCACTGTTCTAACTATGAATAACGACATGCACTTAATTTTTTCACTTTTTTTTAATCATTTACATGGAGCCCTGAAGAGCACATCACAACTGAATTCCAGAAATTACAGAGCTGTAAAACGAAAGCTATAGGCTGAAATGTAAATGAGTTTTGAACACTACGTGTCAGTCTAGAGGCATATGCGCAATTAATGATTGCAAATTGAAAACATATCAGATATCAGGACTTGCCGACTGCGGAAGTTAACAAATTGCAACATGTGCTTAAAGATGACATCAGAAAAGCCGCTATGCTAACTGAAATCTACTGTGATAAAAAAAAGTTTCAAGAAGAAAATCTGAACGGGCAGCTTATTTAATCAATTAGTGTATCCAAATTGAGAATTTTAGAGAAGTGTGACATAATAGCAAAACTTCAATTCGCAACATCGAATTAGGAATATTGTTTTGGTTTGGGATGGCAGTTTTAAACGTATTTTCTCGCTTCATTATGAGAAGATGTATTTCATTTCTTTTCGATTTCAGGTACAATCTTGAATCTCTGCAAGTATTAGGATCCGTGGGAGAACCAATCAATCCAGAAGCTTGGCAGTGGTACCATAAGATCGTAGGTGGTGGAAATTGCTCCATTGTGGACACCTTTTGGCAGTCTGAAACGGTGAGAATTTAATTTCATATCTAAAATTTGTTACATTAAAATGAGCTTAAAATAAACAAAATTCAATTTTAAATCAGACTGCCATTCTAATAAATATCAAATTGGATGGATGCTCTCAAACTTCAATTTCAAGTTACTTTCATTTCTTCAAATAAAATATGTGGTTTATTCTGAAAGTATTTTAATCAATCAAACTGACAAAACTTTGAGATTGCATTTAGGAAACATAAATGTTATTTCAGGGAAAAAGAGACTGTTACATTTCTGTCAGAAATCATTTTTGATATTTCAGCCTTCCTTTTAACTCATTTTCTATACAAATCATCCCAGCCCCCCCAACAAGAAAACAAGAATTTTTTTATTTATTTAGTAAATTTCTAGTAAGCTGCCCAATTCTCAAACGAATCAAATAAACATAAACGGTAAAAAAATACATGCCAATCAGAAGGGCGAGAACTTTTGAACTTCGAACGCATGGCGCTTTGGACTTGTTGCAGAAACAGTATTCACCCACGCTTGTCGTATATCTTGCCAGAACAGAAATCACGTAAAAGCGTTGCCGGTGTAGCGAGGAGCAAATACTGCCGAGTGCAAGATGTGCGCGTGCAAAGTTTCTTTAGGATACGTTTAGGAATATGAAGTGACACACAATTGTACTTATAATACTGTCTGAAGTAATACATGTAAACGATTCACAATATATATTGCAGAAAATACCGTTTCTGTAAGACATTCATTCAGGAAAAGTTCCTTAAGATGAATAAGAAAAAAAAAACACATTTAAATATTAAAAAAAATATATAAAATAGAAAATTAACAGTTGCAACTAATTACGTTTTCGTTCAAAAAGTCAAGGCGTTCCATGATTACTTGTATTTTCCTCATTCTAGAGTTAGTTCGTTTCGACCCCTCAAAGAGAGATTGAGTTTTTCTTGGGACGTTTTTAGCCAGGTCTTTGATTCCTTGTCGTCTGCTAAGGTTTGTTCACTTCGAATTTGCTGTTGAGGTTTAGCAATAGAAGCACCATCTAGAGCTGGAAAATGCTCATCATTTTTTGGTACAGGTTCTGGAACTTTTTTTTAATATTTTCAGAGTAACCGTGGGCAAACTCCATAGCAGACTACGTGGTCCCGTCAATAGAGAACACACTTCTCGGGAATATTTTTGTCTTCCCTACAAATATTAGCCAGGTGATTCTGAGCACATCTAGGAGAGTGAGCCGCCCATAACGCTGACAGTTAAAGGCATTGAATAGGGCTTTTGTTTATTTTAAAAGGTTTTGCATAAATAGATAAGTTCATTAGGTTAGTTAAGCTATAGGTTAACATTTCTTTTTATTTCGTACAGTCTCAACGAAACATATAGGAAGAGGCTTAATTCTCTTCTCCGACCTTTCTTCGGTAACTGACGAAAGAGTTTTTACTGGAATTTTTTTTCTAGTAGTACCTGTTGGATATGTGCAGAGTTTGTGCCTTTCGCGTGTTTTTTATGACATAGTTAAGTATTTTCGCTAATACAAATTTTGAGTGAAAAGCAATTTATATAGTAAAATTTATAAATTACTTGAGTAAATGTCCCCCGCCACCTTCGCTTTTATGCATGTTAATTCAAAACTATTTGTATAAAAATTAAACAGTGGCAATCTTAATTGGAATTATGAAATCAAACTCAGAGTAATTGAAATAAAGATTAGAAAATTAAAAATTCAGAATGAGTTCTTTGGTACTCTACTTTGGTTCTAAATCCCATCGCTTCACGGAACTATTTGGCCTAACTTAATTTGCCAGTTTGGCATAACCATTCTTACTTGAGTAAAAGACGAAGCACCTTCATATTTATTAATTATTGTTCATTGAACGGGAGTTGGTTTGTTCCCCTTAAAAAGTCAACTAATTTCCTATCAATAGCGATAATTACTTGCTTTTAATTTAATTTGTTTTTCAAAGTTTGAAATTTTGTTATTCATAATTTAATTCAAGTCCCCGTAAAACATTTTTAATAATTTACATTCAAGTTACTTTAAAACACAATTTTCGAAATTAAACTTTCTACATATGGGTTCACTCTTTTTTGATACTTCTACTAAATTTATATTAGGAGATAATATAATCAATATTTCTTTAGTAAATATTATAATAATAATATATATAATATATGTGTGTGTTGAGACTAGGCAATAAATTTAAATAACCATTAAACGAATTTAAATAATAAATAATTAATATTAAATAAAGATTAAACGAAGATAGATCAACTAAAATATAACTCAAACTTTGCGCAGCAATGGGCAATAATGTTAACAAAACATGTTAACTCAAGAAATTAATCGAAAAGTTCACTGTGCAAAATATTTCGGGTAAAAGCATTGTTAAATATTATTAAACACTAATGTGATACACACGTAATGTAACTAAATGTAAACTTCGGAGCAGAAAAATTCTCCTTTGCTTTAACCAAAATGTATAATAATAATAAACTGCGACACAGTCAGTGTTAAACAACGAACACTCACCTTTTTCCCGAGATAATGGAAAATTTGTCCATACTTTCACGTTGCGGAAGGAAATGAGGGAAAAGGAGAAACCCTTTCAAAGCTGACTGCGTCTACGTACCCACATTCGCCAGTTCTAATATAAGATACCTACTTCGAAGTACTTTACATTCATTAAAATGCATAGAAGGTTTCATTCTATCGCCTATGATATCATTATTTTTATACATGACATCATTACATCACAGCTAAAATCGGAGTGAGTGGCATGTCACCATTCACTAGTGTTGGACAACTATTTTCGAGATATGAAGTTAATTCGCCTTTTGCACGCGTCATTTAATTGATGTTAATGAAACTAGATGCGGATATTTTACCATAACTTTTATCTTTAGGTCATGTTCAAAATTAATGTTAAAAGTAGAATAATTTTTTGCACTCCTTTAAAATTTCATTATTATCAGCTTGATGACAGAAATTAATGAACTTAATTTAATAATGGATTTTTCCCTTCATTGTTTTTATTACTTCCTTGTACGAAGTAAAATGGAAGTATTGTAATCGCAAAAAGTTTCAGGCAGCATATTTCAACGAAAATATCCATTTTTACCGCTTTCGAACGCAATTTAACGATGTTTTTGCGTGATATCTGTACGTAAGGACAGAATAAAATACTCTTTTCCTCCAAAAATTTATAAAACTGCTTTAAAATGAATTCTGATGAGAATTTTTCGTGGCGTCTGTACGAACGTATGCACGTACATACGTACTTACGTATCTCGCATAACTCAAAAACGAATAGCCTCAGAACATTGAAATTTTGTATATAGGACTGCTATAACATGTAGATGTGCACCTCGTATTTTGGTTGCAATCAGCCGCACTAAACGTATATAAATATATTTATATATACCGTAATTTCCGGAAGAAACGCCACGGCGTTTACGTGTTTAAAACTTAAATTTTCAGCGGGTGCGGCGTTTCTACCCATGCGGCGTTTAGGTGCACTGAAAATAAAATATTTCCTACGATGGTCATTGTACATAGTTTGGATGGCCTTGTCATTGTGCATAGACTGGTGCTGTTCCCACACAAAAGACCACTCAGTTGCTTTTTGCGAACGTTATTGTTGTACATTCTTTCCCTTGAACGGACCTACATGCCTTATTCACCCTAAACGAGATCTCAGAACAATAACATTCTTCCCCCTTTCAAATCAACATTCTCATCAGTTTGAATAGTCTCTCTCCTCTGCGATTCGATGAATCTTCCATTGCAGAAAAGGCAGGGTGGGGGGAGGAATCCCATCCTCTCCCCCCCCTGCCTTTTCTGCATTTTTTTTCAAAGGCGGACACGACTCCACCTGCCTCGCAATAACGAACTCTGACGTATTTCTCCTTTAGCATGAATGGATTTTTCTTGGCATTCTGCCAAATATAGATCCCATCAGTTTGAGTACAAGTACTTGTTGGATAGTTTTTAAGTAAGAAGGGAGCGTAAAATTTTTGAAAATGTCTCTAAACGGCACAGAAGCTATACATTTCTTACCTTTAATTTATTTTTGAGTTATGGTTTCATTTCATGCATTTTTCTTAAATGGTATGTCATATATCAGGACTTAGGTTGAGTTTTTGCATCTATACGGCCCACGACGATGTCACGCGCAATTTAATCTGTTGTGGCGTTTACGCTGATGCGGTGTTTCTGTGTAATTTTAATTTTTTTCCTGCCATTTTGCTCGAGTGCGGCGTTTACGCTGATGCGGCCTTTCTTCCGGAAATTATGGTATATCCAACTCTGTACTCGGCTCAGTGATCTCAGTTTCTTTACTCTTATGTGTTTGTAAATTGTACATTTTTTGCTTTAAAAATGATTGAATTATATTGTTCTTATCTTCCGGTTAAGGTTATTATGCCTTTAGTACATCTGTAGGCAATATTTTTAGAATTATCAACAATTTTAAAGTTGTTTAAGTGCCGCTAAGCCTAATAATTTTTTTTATGGCGGCCATTGCTTGTTTACATTTGAAATAGCAGGATAGTGGATTTGTTGGCAATCTAGAGAAACTTAGCTTCAACAACAAAGATAACGCCTTCATTTATTATTGAGAATTAAATCATACTTAATCCTTTCTGGAATTATTTCAAGGAAATAAGTGTTTAAGATTTACTTCGTAATTTTTAATACAGATATTTTGAGTTTTTATGTATTTTTGCCTAGTCGCGAAGTGAGAACTGAATTAATTGAATGAAAAATACTCAATCGTCTGTGAAAAACGGTTTCTTTTCTGTTTTGTTTGCCTAATTTCTTTTATACATCGTTCTAGCTTTATTATAGTATTTGAATAGATTATGTGGCAACGATTCGATAATTCTTTAAATGATATAAATTTTGTGCATTCTGAGTTATAATATGAACGAAATATAATACTGTTAAGTGAACCTAGCCAGAGTGTCGCTGTGGTAAACAAATAGAGTGAATTTTAAAGAATGCATTTATTCTATTGTGGTTTATGCGCTCTCGGCGAAGTAGATTTAATTCAATCCAATAAGTTTAAATGAAATGCAAGAAAAAATGCGTATAATATGCTGTCGTCTTCCATTCACTTCGATTTCACTCATATCCGTGGCACACCATATACAGCAATGACATAACTACTGAAGGCACAGAAGGACTCTTTAGATTGTCTTGAAATGAGTATACCACATCATATCAAGAGAAGTATGGCATTTGAAGACTAAATTTTGTCTAGGCTTTAAGCCTAGACATATTACTCTCATATCTTTTATTATTTGCATTTAGTTATTTAATTCATTAAGAAAATCATTCTAGGTTTATCTACCTCACGAGGTATGCCTTAGTAAATACGTACGATCCGCTGCGATATGTTTACGATGAAAATTCGGTGTTCAATTCAAAATGATTTAATTTCCGTTCAGATTTGTTCCCACTGACAATTTTAGGTTTTGATTTTCAAATTTAAATTATTATTCTCTGTCCGTATGCAAATACATTAGCATTTATGTAAGAAAGATATGACAGCGAACAAATTTGAAAAAGTTTTATTTTAAGAACTACTGTTTTAGAGTAGAAATCAGAAATAACCAAATTAGAATATTGTAAATCAAAATTAGAATTTTGATATATATATATATATATATTTACTTTACACATATTTACCGCTTTGTCACATTATGAAAACAACAAATATGGTATTGCTTTCACTTCTGAAATTCTGTGCAACAGTGTACACAGAGGTAACAACTATCGCTGTCACTAAACTGTCAGATGTAAATGACATTTTCGATTATATTGGGAGAGTCATGCGATTTTATCAAGTTAGTGGTTCAACTTTAAACCTGTGACGTAACAGATTTTTGATGACACAGCAGTCACTTTATCTTCTAGTTTAAGAAATAACGATAAGCATTTAAGTTGCTTTTAGTATCTCGTAAAAGAAACATTGATATAATTCCAGAAAGATAGAATAATATTCCAAAGAAGGTAATGTATTGAACAAAGTTACGGTTCATATGGTAGCTTGATTAAACAGTTATTAAAGTATTAGAATAATTGATTTCTCGGTTGTGATACAAGAAGGTTAATACACTTCTGTGTAATAATATTCAGAGGGTTTCCTATGTGAGAGAGTGTATTTTCTTCATGGTGTTATAGAAAATTAAGAAAGTTTTACATTTTATATTTTTATGTAATAGAGATCTTTATTTAGCAAAATAATGAAGGAAAAATAATTTTCTATTCCTCCTCAGCAGTTTCCTTTTAATGCAATAATTCAAGAACTCTAGCTATTTTTTTAATTTAACTGTAGTAACCAAATAACCTATATCAAGTTTCAGTAAATTTGTATTTATAGCGCGTTTCGAATATCTGTTATTATAATTTAAATTTAGCGCATGCAAATATATATTCGAAGCAGTATCGTATAGTAGAGGGAACATTATGGGACATTTCGATGCTTAGACATGATGATCTGTTCCATTCACATGTGACAAAAAATCTATTGGCGTAAGAATTTTAATTTGAGAATGCATGAATAGTAGTGATGGCATTGACCTGTACATAATCAAAAATAAAATAAAAGGCAGTAAGGTGACGGAAAAAAAATCATTTGGTCTTTTTTATATCTTATTTTGATGCAGTCGAAAATTCTTTTGTTGTCGTCTACATCAAGCAAGTCAAACTCGTAGCCCACGGTTCACTCCGAGAAAATGACAAATCATTGGAATTAATAAAAATTAACAAAAGAGAGTCTGGTTTATGTGATATGTGGATCGAGAAGCTTCGGCGTCTGTATACAGAATTCGAAGAAAATTTCCACAATATCATATCTACAGAGGATAAAAGCTCTTCCTGTTTTTTGTCCATTTTTCAACGCACGTTTAGAAGTGCCACTCCATTTACAGACAGAATATTCATAGAAATTCGGCACGATTCAACTATATATATCCACGAATTTTACAAACATTTGCCTGAGCGTTTTCCGAATTTCCGCAAATTGGCATCGTTTTTCCTTAAATGATGCTCGATAATGCGTATCAGTGGAAACGACTTTGCATGCTTTATTACCAAAGGAAGAAGTCCTCAGCGAGATTCAGGTTAACAAATATTCATCTGGTTTCTGTTAGCCAATTCCAGCAGCATGTCTCCAAACATCCGAAAGTTGGTTGCAGGAAAAAGTTATGGGTATCGAGAAAAGATACCAGATAAAGAGGAGAGAAGGATATCGATACCAGATATCGGAAAAGAAATAAGAGTATCAGTCTACCACCTGGATATTCTTACTTTCCTTCCATTTTTTTAAGAGAACTTTTTCCTCTTGCTTTTCGCGCTATTCTGCACTGATGACTATTTAGCCCACTTTAGACACTGAGATTGACATGCCTGGTCTTAAACGTTGGCAGAAGGCATAAATAATTACAAATATGCTAGAAAATTATATTATTTAACATATAACCAGCGAGCAAAATGCATTTAAATCCAACTACAGATGCTTGGGACATAAACCACAAGTTGCTGATAGTCAACCATATCCACGGCGGCCATCTTAATTATAACGTGCTCTTCTAAATGTGAATAAGTATATCGTTAGATTATAATTTTATTTTACCTGTGACAGACAAGTGGGATGTGATTATAAGAGTTTATTATAACTTGAGTCATTATGCAAAAATAAATCACGAATATTATCTGGCGATAGTGTGTTACTTTAAAAACTTCAACATCATATCAAGCCTCCTTTTTACTATCATAAAGTGTATCAATATCATTCCACAGCGGAGGTTTAAGGTATTTTAGCGAATTAGATGACATGACCGTATTGAGAAATACGGTCATAATTAACACTTACGAAGTTAACCATGAAATGCCTATTTTAAAGTAGATTATAAGAGATATTTCTTTTTTAATTTATTGTTTTTCGACATTTTAAATTTTCTGCTTCTTCTTTTAAACTGTCAGTTGTGTACTAATTAAAATAAATGAATTTTTAAGAAGTTTATTTTTCATGTCATAGTTTCACACTTTTCACTTTCTTGAGAAAACTTCACTGATCAAACAGTTATTCTTGTTATTGCTGTATCAATCCTTACAGAGAAAAGATGATACATGCTGGGTAGACTAATAACGTGTAAACTAGAATCGCTGAGTATTTCTTATAATTACTAATTTTTATTTTATAAGGTCTAAATGAGTTTAATTAAAGGGAATCACACTCGAATTTTACTAAAACACTAAACTTTATTCAGCCAATTTATCCTTTTTTATTTTTTGTACTTTTAGGGTGGACATGTTATTACACCTTTACCTGGATGTACACCTTTGAAACCTGGATCAGCAGTGAGTTTCTGAAATGTTAATAATAATTTTCGTAACTTAATTAGTTAACAGAATGTATTGCTTGGGCTTTGCTGTATTCTTCTCAGAAATAAATTTAATAATTGCAAGCTATTGTACACTGGATTTTGACGAAGTTTTTTTTCCCCAGACACTCCCATTCTTTGGGATTGTTCCCGCTATTTTGGATGATCAGGGGAAAGAAATAGAAGGTCCTGGTGAAGGATATCTGGTAAGATAACTTGATTATAACTAAATTAATACAGATTAATTGTAATAATTATTATAATAATTGAGGAGATTATTTTTAATAAAGAATAAGCGTCAAGAAAACTTATTTATAGTTTAGAAGTTTAAATACATTTTATGAAGAAGAAATTTGTGGAGATTTTACATTATTAATTAAAAATCTAATTTAAATCATCATAAAATATTTAATTATGAATTTCCGAACGTTAACTCTAAACTACATTCAATGAAGTGCATCATTAAACACTTCATTGAATGTAGTTTAGAATGATTATTACCACGCTATTTTTCATTTAATGTCTTTAGTTCAATTTAACTGAGATAATCTAATCGAAAGTGCATGAAAGTAATTGATGCTTTTATTTTTAATAACTTTCTAGGTAATTAAACAGCCCTGGCCTGGTATGATGAGAAGTTTGTATGAGAATCCCGAGCGATTTGAGTCCACTTATTTCAGTAAATTTCCTGGCTACTACTGCTCCGGGGATGGTATGTAAGAAAAGATATTGTAAGACAACAAATTTTATAATGAGCTTGTAGAAGCGAATTATAGGAAGATATGTAACATGGAATAAAGACAGAGCACTACAATCTTAGCTAATACGTGATTCAGTGAATGAATGAAATTGTTTTCAGTCTTAATGTACTCGCATATATATATAAAGGTGTCGTATTCCTTGGTAGCAAAAAATGTACTAAAGTCTTAAGCGTTATTAAAGTGAATTATCACTGTGTCTCGTAAAGTACCACACAGACTGAGAAAGGGTGTAAAGGACTCTTTTAGTTAACTCAAATAAAAATTAACAGCAGTCACCACTCCTACTTACAAAAGCCAGCATTTATGGCTTAAATCAAAGACAATGAAATTTACTTAATAAAAGTAAGTTAGCCTAACGGCTACACGATTAGAGTAATGCGCAAGCTGGCTCTGACTTGTGACAAACCTAATGGCAAGAATAAAGCAACGTCGCAGAATACTACTCTGAAAAGAAAAAAATTAGCAACATGGCCTTCAGCAGCAGAACACGCTCTGATTCTACCCTCTAAAAAACCTTTAAATACCATCTTTTTATATCCCTTGATTATCACGCGAGCTAGAAATTTGCATTCTGGCATGAAAATGGCAAATGAGGAGGATAGGAAAGCAAATTAATGTAAAATAACTGGTTAAAGAACTAAGCGAAACTTTACAATATTATTATGTTTAAATTAGATAAAACCACTAATACGTTTTTCTCTTCATATTTACAGAGTACTCTATGCAAGTGATTCCTAAAACTTTTATAGCGTGTGATGTAAGAAGGAATGAAAACTCTCCTCTTCGTAGTTTAGAATTTTAATTTCATATTTGTTTGCTGATAAATCTGGAATATTTTACGCATTCAATGTTTCACTTCTACAAGCTCCACGCGTGGATAAATATTCAACTAACTAAACCAAAGAAACTTTTGCCTTGATTTTTTTAAGAGTGGATCAGTATTTGATCATAATACTAAAAAATTTCCGTATGTTTTTTGTTAGAAATTGCACTATTAATTCCCTTAAAAATATTTATTAGCAGTTTTTCTTTTAGCATATTATTAATTGGAGTTATTTATGTCATGCAAAATGTTTCAACCATGCTTTTTTGCAGTCCTTTGATTTTCGTATTTTAATTTTGTATTATCTCACAAACTTTGTTGGAAAGTTGGAAAGTTTTGTCATATCTTTTGCTGCTGCATAAGCTTCTACCTGTTTAAGCGGCGATTTCTCTTACCAATTTTATCTCTGTTGCCGAGGCAAATTGCTTAAATTGCAAAAATGAGATTTTCACTTTTTTTGCGGTTTATGAGATCAAACTGGATCATCAGTCTGTGTAGACAGTTTGAAATACACAGATGAAGATGAGTTTAAAGACAAAACTGAGAGAAAAATTTGGGGAGTTGATAGGTTTGAAACATAAAATTTCCAACACATTGGAAAAATCTTTTTTATTTTAATGACGTATTTGAAAAAGTCAGCCCGAAACGTTTCTTTAGAGATTAGTGGAAAAGATTATTTGTATTTTCTGAATGTAATCCTTATCAAAAAGTGAGGAAAACGAGTGTCATACCAGTTCTTCTTTTTATTCAGTTGTATTAACAGTCTATCACAGTCCAAGGCCGTCTTAATAAGCTTCCTCCAACGGATCCGATTAGTCGCTACGATCCGCAAAAGATTGAATTTTTAAATCTTGAGATCTGCCTCCACAGAGTCTATCCATCTTCTGCGAAGTCTTCCTCTTTTCCTGATACCCTCTACACTTACAAAGGTCACCATTTTAACAGGTTTCAAGTTTTAACAGGATCCGATTAGTCGCTACGATCCGCAAAAGATTGAATTTTTAAATCTTGAGATCTGCCTCCACACAGTCTATCCATCTTCTGCGAAGTCTTCCTCTTTTCCTGATACCCTCTACACTTAAAAAGGTCACCATTTTAACAGTTTTAAGTTGTCATATCTAAAGATATGCCCAAGCTGCCTAATACGATAAGATCTAATGACTCGGACAACATTAGGTTGCATGTATCTTCTATATATTTCATGGTTAAACAAAATTCTCCATCTGTTATTTTCTCTAAATGGGCCATATATTTTTCGTTCAAAGATTAGAAGTTTCTTAACCTGTTTTTGTTAATGGGAAGCGCTCACTACCATACAATATGATAGGTCTAATAACACTTGTAAAAAGATTTATTTTTGCCTTGAAGTTTGATTATTTAGACACTAGCACTTTCTTTAAACCATAATAATATCCATTAGCTCTCGATAATCTATTGTTAATTTCTAATAATAATCTATTGTCATAATAATAATCTTTTAAAAATAATCCACTGTCAATTTAATATTACAGTGTAAATACATTAGAGATGATAGGACAGAGATACGTAAACTGAGAAACGTCCTCGAAAGTGTAAGAATTCGTTTGCAGTGGGAGAGGATTACGTACTGTACTAGTTACTGTTATTTTATACTCATTAATGGTTATTTTACCAATTAACAGCATAAAATTTAGAAATGTTTTGATATGAATTCTTTGCTGCTTCGGCATAAGGAACTGCTAGAAATGCATCCGCCATTTCTGTTCTGGAGGAGCAGCGAGAAAAGTCACGAAAAATACACCTCGCACTACGTAGAATAGGTCAGTCACGGTATCTCTACGGTACTCTACGGTAGTATGATATCTCCTCGAAAGACTATTCTCGCATTTTGGTGATCAGAGGCTACCCTACCTGATTGCAGTCTTCTGAGATATGGATTCACAACTGACTATAATAGAATTGTGACATTTCATTTGAATTGAACTAACAGTTAAAGGTTTAACTTCCATCATTCCTTTATGGCTCATTTCGTCTCATACTCGCTCAGTTTAAGAGATTTGTGCACATTAGTTCGGCAAATGGCATAGTATAAACCGAAAGAAAGAACAATAACGGATGACTTGTAAAAGATAAGACATTTGGCTCTGTAACGGCCGCCGCACTTGCCTTGCATCCAGAAAAGCCGCTGTTCGATTGAGAAAGCTTGGTCGACATTAGTCTCGGTTGATAAGTTCATCTTGATTTATATTAGGTTGTCTGATCTAAAGATATTGATTGTAGCCTTGAATAGAGATATCTGTGCTGCCATTCGATTGAATTTAAGTTCCAGTTTATTGTTGTACAGTCAAGGATACTTATTTAGGTTTTATAATATTTTAATTTAATACTCAGATGCTGTGAGCAGAATAAAATTCACTTTTACTTGCTTGTGTGTTTATACTTCTATAGTTAGCTTTAGGTAGAGAGGATAATTTGCGTCATATCTTTAAGGCAATACTTTAAGGGTGGGAGTTTGATGTAGGTACTTAGATTAGTAGAAAGGTCTTGCAAGTGTTAGAGTTACACACTGTCCAATCGGAAGCTAAAAAGACAGCACTAATAAAAAGAAAAGGTCACATCCGTCGCAATGATGATGCTGGAAGTCGCAAGCATGACCTCATAAAACTACACGAATTGAATGATGAAGCTCTCCTTTATCTCTTACATTTTCGTGATCAGTTACCAACTCACTACTTTTTTTTTTTTTTTTTTTTTTTTTTTTTTTTTTTTTTTTTTGTTCTTTGGATGGCTTTCTAACTGGTCATCAAAATTAAAGGATAGTGAGAAAAAAATGTGCTCACTAAGTTAATGTTGCAACTAATGCCCATTGCTGTAATTCATTAAATGCAGTTGAACACAAAATTGCACTTCCACGCATAAATTAGCGACGGAAATATGCAAATTCGGTGATTGACAATGTGGTGCGCAATGGAGGCATGTTGGAATTCCGGTTTGTAGTATTGTTTACAGTGAACGTGGTTTCTGAAAGTAATCAGTATTCAATAGTTATGGCTCAAAGGTATCATTTAAGTGAAGGTCAAAAGTAGCGAATAATAGGTAGAATCGAGGAAGATCAAATACAAATGGAGGTCGCCAAGATTTGGATATCTCTCAAGAGTGTGATATTAGGAGTTAGGAGCTGCTTTGTAAGCAATGGATCAGTTGATATATAACCTGGTCAAGGGAAATCAAGAGCAACAACTGTATCATAAGAGCGTTTTTTGTCGTTGTCTGCTCGAAGAAACCGCGAAGCGACTGCAAGAAATTTGGTTTTAGACCTTCAGGGTGAGACAGAAACTCAAATTAGCTATTCTGCTGCTGCACGATGGTTTAACGAGACTAGATTGTATGCGAGAAAACCAATGGTTTGTGTCTCTCTCATTCCGGCTTCCAGAACAGCCCGTTTAAACTGGTACCATCGTCACGTTCAATGGGACCAAGACAACTGCGCCCGAGTATTGTTTGCTGATGAGTCTCGATTTAGTCTGAATAGCGATTCTCGGCGTGTTTTGATCTGGAGACAGGAATGAATACGCAGTTTTGCCTTTCCTTATCCGTAAAATATCCCATTTCCAAGAGCGCGGTTTAAAGACTTGGGGAGTAATCGTGACAAATGACCGCACTGAGCTGCATATCTTCTAATAGTTCTATAACCTTTCGGAGATATGTGGACGAGATATTGGAACCCGATTTAGACATTTTAGGAGTGCTGTTGACACAGAGGTTTTTGCTAATGGATGGCAATGCTCGGCCTCATCGAGCATATGTGGTGTCAGAATACTTGCAAACAGAAGATATCAGTCGAATGGTTTGGCCGCCTAACTCATCTGACTTGAACCCGATTGAGCATGTGTGGGATGCCTTAAGGCGCTGAATTTCAGTTCGCCAAATTCCTTTCCGATCCTTCAGGAGCTAAAAAGAGCATTTTTAGAAGAATAGCGTGCAGTTCCATAAGATATGATCAACACTTTGGTAAAGTCTACGAAAGCAAGATGTGAGTTATGCATATCTGTCCGGGGTGACCATACATTATATTAAAGAAAAATGTTTTCCTCAAGAGGTGATTTAATTTTTCCATCATTTTCCAGTTTCCATAAATTTGGTTTTAATTTCAGTGTCTTGCGAATACTGAACTACTAAACATTGTAATTTATGTTAACTAATGATTTTATACAAATTTGTATTAATAGTTTTTTATTAAGTATCAGTTACATTTTATTTCTGCCATTATTCTTTAACTATGATGACCAGTGTATTTTCATGAAGAATACAATGAAAAAAAAATGTCTTCTGAGAGTCTGGTATTCTTAGAGAAGGAACTTTTTTTTACGATGTTTTAATCTTCTTGTCACAGAGCATTCGAAAGCCATTGATTGCATGGCGCTGATTTTGACTAAAAATCTCAAATTTGGCAGTTAAGAGCAAAAGTATGATTCTTGTAGACGCAAGAGTATTAAATTATGATTTGAAAATGTTTTTGATTTTCAAACAAAATACACTTTACGTATCGTATTCTACTCTATCTAAAAAGAAGGTTTTGTAGTTGTTCCACTCATGTAGATGAATTTTATATTTTACACATACGAGACAAATCAGGTTAATAAGATAAATTATGCAACTTCATTCAACTATGATAATGGCGGCAGTTTCTAGACATTTCCAAGTCGAATTTTGTTTTTATTCAAGAAATGATAAAAAAAATTTTTTTTTCTTGATGAAATTTAAAATGTTTTCGTCAAAAATATAGTTCTGAACTTGATTATACATAGGCAAGTTGAACAATTTCTGATTTTTCGTTTCAGGTGCCAGAAGAGATTCAGATGGGTTTTACTGGATTACGGGTCGTATGGATGACATGCTGAACGTGTCTGGTCACTTGTTGTCAACTGCAGAAGTGGAATCCGCTCTCGGAGAGCATCCATCTTGTGTGGAGGCGGCAGCAGTTTCCCTTCCACATGCAGTAAAAGGAGAATGTCTTTACTGCTTTGTTGTTCTCAACGAAGTAAGAAATTAGATGAAAACTTAAGTCTAATTTACAGAGGTTGTTTACACATTTTTCCATCCCTGTTCGGTATAGTAGTAAGCAGTAATGACAATAAAATCGTTCGGAAAACAAATACAATCTAAATTCGAAAGAGTCCTCTCCGACTCTAAAGGAGTGATATCCCACCTCCCTCTAATGCCGAAATGGCACCAACCTCGAAGGAGCGATATTTCACTCTAGTAAAAAGCGGTCCCTTTTCACACAAAAACAGGAGTGACCCTTTCTTCGTTCGCTCTTTTTCGATAGTCAGATATCGCCCGATATTCGGGTGAAACCACACACATTACAAGGAGTTATAATAATAGTCTGCTCGCTCCTTGATGGTGCGATTTTTATATAATTATTTTATAGGCAAACTGAAAATTGGTATTTGCTATGTAAACTTTATAGCTGATGTATTGTTTTAGATATCTGGTTAATATTATCTCTTGAAAAAAATATTTTACACTACTTTTTAACATGCTATTGTGATTTTAATTATCTGATATATACATCTGTTTTAGATTTGCTACCTATGTACTTACTTAAACATTTATTGGCGATGAGATTTCTTTCCAGATCTAACGAAATATACATATAAAAAAATTACATCCATATTAAAAATATTGGAAATTCGGTGTAGTTAACATTCTGAAATACTTAACACTATCACTTTCTCACAGAATATATTTTATTTTACAGAAACATGGCTTTTGCCTTTATGTGTAGTAAGCAATAAAATAAGAACGTCAATGCAACTTATATATAAAAACTAGATTATGAATCAAAGTAGACCATCACGAAATAAAAAAACACAGTTTAAAGACAATCATATCTTCATTGTTTAGACATATAGTTTTCTTCCAAATCTAACGAAATATATATAAAAAAAATTACATCCATATTAAAATATTGGAAATTCGGTGTAGTTAACATTCTGAAATACTTAACACTATCACTTCCTCACAGTACTTCTGATGTGAAATTACTTTGAACTCACAGATATATTTTATTTTACAGAAACATGGCTTTTACCTTTATGTGTAGTAAGCAATAAAAATAAGAACGTCAATGCAACTTATATATAAAAACTGGAATAGCAAGATATTCGCAATGAAAAACTTAACTTTTGAATATAAAAAATAAGGTTTTTCAGGTACTTAAAAACTTTGAATAAATATTTCAGATATTTTCAAAATTTGATTTGAGAAATCAAAAAATGCTTAGTTTCATAAAAGAAATTAAAAAAAAAATCATTTTAGATGAATCATATATATATATATATATAGTGATATACATTCTAAATTTTGTATACATATTTTAATTTAAAAAAGCAAATTATGCTTATTCACAAGATTTGGGCACGTAATCATGTAAATTGTAAGCTAAATTTTCCATTAAATAATCATTCTAGTTGGAAAAGTAATTTATTAAAAAATAGTTCTTGACAAATTTTATAATGAAAATTTGAATGTGTTAGAACAGCTGATCATATATATATGTGTCAGTAAACCTGTATCATAATCTGATAGATTTAACTTCTTAAAATGCTACTTATAAGTGACTATATTAATACAATTTGTGAATTGATGTTACTAGTAGTTTGTCTACTTGAGCATAATATGCATAAAAAATCGAATAATAAATTTTAATATACATTGAAGTAAGAAACAAATGCGAATTTAATTTCCCTTACATGAAAACTATTCAGCTTTATTTTTAATGTATGAGATTCAGAAAATAAGTAACCATAAAATACTCTCATGCTATTGTTTTTAGCTTCATATATTGCACAAAATATTGCAAAAGAAATGTTTCTATTTCTTATTACATAATTATGAAGAGCTTAAAATTAATTATTACCCCAAATTATGAATAAAGTCTAAAATCTTCAGTTAGCTTGTTACGCTTTCTATTTTTGAGAAGTTATATGCATACAAATTCCTATACATTAATCATTACAGGTGAATAAATGCTTACATATACTTTTAGACTATAACTTATTTTTATATATGCTAATTCCAAGTCTCATTTGGGAAAAATAAAGTAAATTTTAAAGTGAAATAATATGGATTATAGCTCACATGTGTAAGCTAAAAATTCATTTTTCATAATTCTGCTGAAAATTATTATGTATTTCATTTATTGATTAAATCTGAATAGGAATCATTACCATAACTGCAGAATTATAATAATTTTAATGAACGAAGTATTTTAAATATAAGTGAAAACAAGCATTGCATGAAAAACTCTTTATTAGGAAATATATGTACATATATAAAAATGGAAAATATGACACTAAAATGACATTAAAAATATGAAATGTAATGCATGTACAAAATGCAATAAATTCAGACTCGAACATGTATTTAAAGAGTCCACACAAGCTCTAGGAGTGCTGACATTATACAAAAGGCTTGCCACACAAATTATAAAAATTTGTTGATGTATGTGCATATTTGAACGCTAAATACAAAATTAGTTTTAAATAGAATGTCAAATGCCTTCATGGCATGATTTGGGCATGCTTTTAAGTGATTTACTGCTTTAATATAGAATGAACTTGTAATACACACTATAATGGGCTGTTTATTCTGAGCTGGTCCCAAGAGATTCCATGTCTTCTATTCCCTGAAAATAATTTCTTTATTAAGAATACATCCATTACCTATTCTATTAGGACAAGTCAAAAATACCAATGTAAAATGCCATACTAGAAAGTATTAATCTTTCCAATATAAAAAATATATCGCCAGAAAATTTTTATTCTTCTTTTCAAAAATAAAGTAATTCCTAGTAATTTAATATATAATAATATATATAGAGGTCTTTTGCTTTAGTTATCTGTAAAAATGCAGTATAAAATACATATAGGAATATGTAAATATTATATTGAATGCAATATAAAATAGGATAGTCTATCTGATTTGCTTCTTAATGAAAAATGTAATAAATAATGTACATAAAAATGCGTATCATTCATTGAAATGTTTGTTTTTTTTGGTTTCAAATTGACCTTTTGTATTTAGCTTGATCCAATTAATTTACAAGTTCGATAAAATTCTGACAGCTTTTCAAAGCCTTTATTTGTCCTTTAGTTGCTGACATGCCATCAAAAATCTGCCTAATGGGAAGGATGCCTCCGTGGAGGTCTTTGTAAGGCAAACTGGTTCGTATACACGTTACACATGGAGAAAACCACAAAAAAGTCCATGCAGCCAGCTCCTTCATGCGATTCAAACTCTGGACCGAACTACCAGTGCTCAGCGACTTTGCCGCTGGTGGGTAATATTTAGGGGATGTGCATTAATGTTCGGAGAAAAAGCATGATATTAAGCATTTGTAAGTAAACAGCCTGTTAAACATGGTATTTAGGGCATATAAATTAAAATGAGCGCAGGGGCGTAGCTAGAGGGGGGCAAGGGGCATCTGTCCCCGGGCGCAGGATCCAAAGGGCGCCAAACTGATGTTACGGCATTTTAGAATTAAATGTTTTCCATCCTTGGGAAGCAGTAGGGGGCGCGAAATCTTCAGTTGTCCCTGGGCGCTGAAAACCCTAGGTACGACTCTGAATGAGCAGCAAGAAATATAATATTAAGCATACGTAAGTAAAATTTACATAAAGTAAATATTAGTTACTGAAATCAATTTGGCCTTCCCCCATTTTCTCAAAATTGTTCCAAAAACTGTTCCGTTAAGAAAATTTTCGGCAACATATTATCTTAGAAGGAAACATTCTTTAAACGCAATTTAATAGTTCTTTGACTGTATCTCAACCATTATGCTTAATTTCATGCCGAGACAAGTACTCGAGTATGCAGTTTTGTAAATTTTCTTTGCAAACACTTTAAAATCACTTTTAGGAAACATAGCACGGAAATCAGACAAAATAATAATAAATTGAGAAAAAATGACACATGCAAATAAATTTTGAACAGCAGCGAAAGAAAGCGAGGAGGAGGCCGCAAGAGAATTCTACCAGCTTTGTGCTTTTGCAGCGTTTACATTTACTGGATTCTTTGCGGTAGTGTTTTCGAAGGCAGGTGGAAGGATGGTAACTTTGAACTTCTGCAGTTCATAAAATTTCAGAATGCAGTTCCAAATACTGATATACATCTGTAAATTTTTTTCATGACTGTTGCGAGAAGAATTTTGCAAAGTACAAATGGATTAAAAAACACCTAAGACTGAGAAATTGTACCATACTGTCTACAAATCAGCTGATAGAGTAGTAAATCAAACTTTTAGAATACTATTAATGATTTTGTGTATAAGGAAAACAAACAAAATAGTACTTTACGGTATTAGAATTAATGTTTTATTTCAAAAATAAACCCAGATATTTTGTTTTTATATATATCATTTTGACATTTTATAGACTTTTTATTGTGCACTGAGTGAGGCAGCAAGAACTCTGGCTACACCTCTAACAGTGTTCACATAACTTAGTTATTGAAAATGTAAACAAGCTGTGTTACCTGGAGTCTTTAAATCCTATCTAAACCAGAAAATGAATTCATATGAGTTTATTAAAATCAGGTTACTTACATTTCTTTCCTACTTTAAAGGACTGTGGATAAGAAAAGGTTTATAAGACTTGTTTGATACAACAATAGCTTTTGCTAATGTAAACAATTATATTATTTTGAACATTACTTCATCAGATCCTCTCACTCATTTTAATATCACTAGGAGAAGATATAATAACTAATTGAAATGAAAAGGCAATAATCTTGAAAAGTAATAAGTAAATGTCATTAGTTTAACTTTCTAACTATTGAGTTGATGTATATGAATTAATCTATGAATCATTTTAGAATTATCATGTTTAAATTAGTATATATTTCGACAATTTTGAAAGTATGCCTGACAAGTTTTCTTAGAAGGGGGAAATAAATAAATAAAAATAACCCGTCGAATTAGGTTTTCTCCCGCAATAGAAGGGAGGAGAAGCTGTTTTTTAAATTGTGCATTTTATTATCTGTTAATAAAATAAGTTAATTTTTAAATATGATAGGCGCTGCCACAAATATAAGGCAATATTGCTTAATTTTCATATTATAAAATAAAAATGCATCAAACATTTAGGTTTTATGGCTTACATATAAAAAAGTCGTTTTGTTTCAGTTGAAATAAAAATGTTTAGACATGTACGAATTTTACTATTTAATTAAGTTTGAGAAAAACATGCCTTACATTTTTTAAAAATAAATACTGTTTTTTTTTTTTTAATTTTCTTATTTGCATTAAAAGAAATAAACATTTGGTGTACATATTATATATTGGCATATACGTATATTTGTCAGTAAATACATATTTAGCATAAAATAAATACATGTATATAGCATATAAAGTCAACTGAATATCTGGAATTTTCAAAAATCCGGACTAGGTATAGTTTTTAATTTAAAACAGAGTAGAAAATAAAATTACCTTTTAGGACATTAACAGCATCTTCGGGAACTTCTTGCAGTTATAAAAATCTGATAATTTTGAACTATCATGTAACGCCTCCTGAAAAAAAAAAAGTATTTTATTGTGCTACAGTTTAAAAAAAAAGACAAGGGGCAGATAAATTTGACAATTTGCTGTGGCACAAGTATTAGGAATATAGAACCTATGTAGAATGGGACAAGGTACTAAAATTTTATGCTTGGTCTTTGATTGAAAATGAATTCTCATTAAATAGTTATCTGCATGAATTACCTGGAATATTTAATAATACAATAGTTTTCAGTTTGTCATCAGAAAATCAAAACTTATTATTTTTTTTAAATAGCTGGGTTTTTTTTTTAGTCCAAAGGGGCAATTCTCCCAGAAGGACTGTTAATTTCGTTTTGGCATTTTGCATATATTTTGCATTTTGCATATTCCCGATATGTTTCATTTCAAATTGCTGCCACCAAACATTATATTTAAAGAAATTAAATAATGAAGAATCTGCATGAATGTATGTATGTTTCTCGCATTGTAATAAAACAACGGTACCTAGAGCCAACAAAATTTGAATAAGGTAATCTTCCATAGAATATGGGCATGTGGAAGCCCTAATTTGAATTTGAAATTGGTTTTATTATTTGCTTTATTATTTAATATTTTGTAATACTTCAACGAATTTTTGATTAACAAAGTAAACAAGTAAACGATTTCAAAGCGAGCAATGGCAAGACTGAACGAGTAAAAAAAAATATATATATATATATATCCAGCTCGCGAGACTCTGTATTGGAAATTCTAAAGATATGTTCATTTTAAAATTATTTTGCGATATTGCTGTTGAATGTTTTTATGGTTTAAGTGCGAAGAACGTGATATTTAATAAATAAAGGTAACACACAAAATGTTAAAAAAATGCCCCTTTGGACGTAATTTAAAATCTGAAGCTTTCAGTCTTTTTTAAAGAATGCAAGATTTTTTTTAAATCGTAAACGGAAAGCCGTCTTAGCAGCTTTATTGGCCTCCCGGACTTTTGAATGTTCAAGAGGCCTTAGTTACACCTACACTCTCGAGAATAACAACATATTTGCAAAAATATAAGTTTTAGAATGCTGATATGACCCAGGTAGTGCTAGTATTTATATTTTGGAAAAATTCAGCTTTGCAACAGTAAGTGAATTTTATTGTCACAAACTATAAGCAGAATTTATAAAAAATGAAAGTTAAAAATCTATTAAAAACTACTAGAAGCTGAAAACGATATGACTTCAATAGGAAATTCAGTAAAGTATACGGTTTTTATTTCTTCCAATACTACCAAATAATTTACACACTTGTGTTATAAAAAAAAATCAAAACTTTAGTATGCATTTTTTTTTTTCCACCGCTGTTCTTCCTATTTGAAATAGGAATGCATGCAAAACTAAATTTAAATAATTAAATTCGATAGCTTTGTGTAAATTGTTCAAAAATAAAAATAATGTTAAGAATTATTTACAAAAAGTACCATCCATACGTACAGCTTTCATTGTGTTAGCAGTACGTAATAAATAAAACTACGTTACAGCATTACACTCTTAAAGCAAATTTACAGACACCTAAAAAAAATGAGCAAACTAACTATAATTTATAATAATTAAGATATTTATATTAAGAAATAATTGTATCAAGGTTCTTTAATATCTTTAGTCTGGGTGGACAATGACAAGACAGGGGGTCGTCCTGCTCCTTCAATTCACTCCCTTCCCCAAGGTTATTATTGCAAGTGGGAAACATGTTCTGCTACCAAGACAGTAAATTTGCGTTGTTTGACACGAAGCGGAGCGAAAACTGCTGTCACCCTCCAAATCCCACTCTGCGAGATTTAGAGTGTAAATACAGCTGAGAACTGCTCAACATCTTTATACTGGTTCACATCGACACCGCCTAGAATCAAGACTGCACAAGATCGACATATTATATCGATTCCATAATGTCGCTACGGCGTAGAATCGATAACGACGTAGAATCGGCACCAGTTGAAAGCATGCAATTGACAAGATAAAAAATAAACTTTGATAATGATGTAATAATGAACAAGAAAAATCATGAGCGAAAAATTCGTCTGTAAATACGAGCATTGTAACGAGCAACGAGCCAAGCTGTGGGTATGCGTGTTGCGTTTCCTGATCCGGCTCGACTCGGGAAATCTTGTCATATCACTCAGTGTTCTTTGATTAGCGCACAAACGTGCGCTTGTGAGTTAATTGTTTTTTATATTTAAGGTAAAAATAATTATTTTAAGATGTCTCCAAAAAAATTGCTGACTCAGATAGTGTAGCAAAGAAAAAGAAGGAAGCCATGGCCGTTGAAATTAAGAAAGAAATCCTACATAAACATAAGCGTGGTGTAAGAGTGACGAAACTGGGCAGACTTAGGCCATTCGACATCAGCGATCTGTACTATTCTGAAGAAGAAGGAAGCAATTGAGAAACTTGATGTGGCCAAAGGAGTTACCGCTATTTCCAAGCACCGTCCAAAACTCCTAGAAGATGTTGAGAAGCTGTTGTTGCTGTGAATTAACGAGGAGTTAAAAGGAGATTCGGTGTCGGATGCTATCTTTTGCGCTAAGGGCTACGAATCTGTACTTGAACCTTCTCCGAAAAACACCAGGTATGTCGACTGAAGATGAGATGGCAATGAGATTTTTGGGTGTTAGGAACGGATTAACTGGATTTCCATTATTTTCAATGGGGAAGTTTGTTTCTAGATACGAGAAATTCGCTTCGAGCTCAGCGCTATAACCAATTAAACTCGCATCTCGAGGTTCCACTGTATGTCATCTGCGCGGAATCGTGGCAGGCAAAGGATCGATACTGCGATGAGTTGACACCCGCATAGTATCAAAACTGAATTTTGAACTGGCACATAAATCTTAGGCTGCCACAGAGAACGTCGATCCTGTTTCGCATTCCGTATATGCACTAGCTTCTCTAGTGTGACTGAGGTGCTTTTTAGTATTCAACCGCGACAACAGAATTCGCAAACCTATCACAAATTTTAAATGGAAAGCTATATTTTTTCCTTTCTCCAAAACGAAATATTCGGTAATTAAAAAAATCAGTTAATTAATATTTTTGAATACGTAAAAAGTAATATGATTCATACATGAGCTAACATACGCAAAGCATTGTTTTAACAAAGAAGGAGAAAGAAAGAGCAAAGAATTATCTGAAATAAGCACCTATTTTTGATATTTTTTTTAAAAGCATACTTCACTAACCTTAAGAAAGAAAGAAGAAAAATGAAAGAAGACTTCATTTAAAAAATTTCTTCAGGTACTTCTACACCAAATAAGAAAAATAATAACAAAGATTTAAATCTTTTAAAAAATCATTATTATGTTTTTCATCGTTTGCATGTGGCCGATGGCGGAACGTATTATTGTAGAAGTCTTTATCAAAATCTTTCAGTTTCAGACATGAGTGTTGTGTCTGATGAGGGAGCATGCATTTATTTATGTGAATGAATTTTTAAAGTGGAGAAAAGATTTGATTTAACGAACCCAAAGATAATTTCTGTAAAAAAAACTTATGGTTATTGCTATTTTCTCATAAAACAGGAAATTAAAATTAAAAGGAAGTCCAAATTTATTCCTAAATTTCGAGTAAAAATTATAAAAGGGACAGAAAAATCCTTTTCATCTGGATCACACTCCTTTAAAGCCTTCTGATGTTCCGCTAATAGATTATTATGCTTTTAGAGAGGTAAAAAGAGCACTTTCTATCAATGTATACCTGAAACATGGAAAAACAGTGAATGAGTAGTGGAGAAAAACATTATTCCTGTATATAATAACTGCATTCTTATCTTGGAAATCGAGACAAGGTTGTCCTAGGAAAGAAAAAAATAATATTGCTAAAATTTATTTATTATTTATTATTTATTATTATTATATATATTATTTTATATTATTATATTTTATATTATTATTAAAATAATATAAAATAATATTTTTTAAAAAATAATATTGCTGTTGTAAGCAATTATGATGAGTAGATTCGTTCTAAAATGTGTAAACATCCTCTGCAGTAATTAAATGAAACTAGTGCAAGTTTAATTTTAGTATCTCAGTTGGGCTAAAATTATTTGCCCCCTAATATTAGCGAATAGCGTTACTGGTTAAATATTAGTTTGTTTTTGCTGTAATTGAACGTGTTGCATAAATTTGTTGAGAATTAGGCCTATGGCTAAGTATAGTTTGTGCTCCTTTGTTACTGTATTCAAATGCAGTTATTTAATTACATCTATCTTTTTCCATTTGTATGTTTGCTTTGTTTATAATTCTAATTACTGGATGATTTCTTCTTCTGGTTGCAATTACTCATTGGTCATTTTAAACTAATTGTGTAACTGTACAACTACGCTGTGAATTAGAAACTTTCTAATGATATATTTTTCCTTTAGAATGTTACTCCAAGTCCAGAACTATCATACGAGCTTAAAGAACAAGGTAAGCTTTCAATGATTATTCTAAATAGAAATGTTAGAAAATGAAAAGGTGTAGGATTCGTATTTTTCATCAAATCATAACCTGTCTCACACTTGACTGCATGTGTAATGGACTAGACACATTTCATCAAACTTATCAAAAAACAAAAGCTTTTAACTGAACGAAGAATTTGACCCCAGCTTCTTTTAACGATTTGAATTTATGGAATTATTTTGTCAAAATGAAATTTAATTTCTCGGTTTCGTTAGCAATTAAAAAGTTTCAAATACTGTATAAAAATCAGTATAGTTGTATATTATGATTCCTTGTTCTGGAGAAAACTACATTTTTGGTAGAATTACTAAAATTATCTTTAGTTCATCAACAATTTTATTTTATTCATAATCTGCTGAGAAATTTTGTTTTCGCGCCTTTTAATTTGCATCAATTACATCGCAGGCTCACCTTACTATGCTGATATAGTTGCTTGTGAATATCTTCTTCTAGATCAGAAAGTAATTTTTGTCTACTAAACATTTAAACGCGAAACCTTTTGTTGGAAAAGCAGTCAAATGGTATCATTCTATATACTTATTTATAACGAGTTCTGTGTTTCGTATAAAGTTAAGGTTTTAGTATGAAAATGAATCGGTTATTATAAATAACACATCAATTACTCCTGCGTTAATAGAGCACAACATTTCTTAGCTATGGAAATACGCTTGCTGCATTTGAAAATTCTAGTTTCATTCTCCATGCTACTACACCTCGAAAAACTGAAAGTAACTTAATAGCCGAAAGTTGTAAGGCCATGACCATCACGAAATTGTATAACATTCTTTTAGTATGTGTTAAGTAAACTGCATATTAAAAATTTACAAATATAATATTCCTTTTAAATCTAATAACTAAATTCCTGGAAAAGTTCTGGTCGACTTAGACCTATCATGAATATTTGTTTTGTATTAAACCAAAAGCGGTACATTGCGAAAAGCATGCACTCCATACATCGAAGGATCTGTGAACTTTCAGACTGATTCCGTATCCCTTCCCTATACAGCTGAGCTGGCTTAAAAGCGAAGGGAGTCTTCTAGTTAGCCATTCACCTAGGCTTCGTTGAGAATGAACAGACCATCACCTTGGCTGAGACCAGAAAGGAGCTACTTAGAGCAATATCTTGGATTATGAGACATAAGTTCCTCACCTACGTCTTGTAACTTCCGGCGGGTCCGTCAAGTCACATGATGTCTTGCAGGACGAATAGTAACATTGTCGGGAATACATCTAAGAGAGATCGTTAGTTGCTAACAGCGGTGTTCTACGTGTTGGAGCCATCGCTCAAACGATTGTGTCTTGTGAATAGCAATAAAAATTTAATATTTCTTTGATAAGGTGGATCTTTGTTTCGACTCTTCTTTTTCTTCATCTAAGGTAATATGAACTTCATGTAAACATGAAAGCACCATTTTTCATATGGTATTAGTTCGAATACCAGTAGGATTGTACGAAAACATAGAAGCAAAGATTCCTGCAGGTTTCCTATGTTTTCGTACATCAGGTTGACTGCCTGATGTCATTGCTGAAGCTTGATCCCTAATTTGAATTGCAAGGGGTTTGGCTTTTTATAAGCTTATGCAGAATTATACAGTGGTCTGCTTCCGTTCTCAGCCTAGCACCACGTTGAATATTGTCAATTTTTAAGGCCGATTTTACTATCATGGAAGCGGGTGAACCATTACATTGTATTCTCTCATTCTCGTTCTCAGAACGCAGTATTCATACAACAAATATACTTGGCAACACTGAACTCGTATCTGAAAAGGGATTTGATGCATTTTTGTATTTAACTTCCGCATATGAATGAAATGCACGACAGTAACACTAGGAAATACAGTGTTCTTTCATGTACTAAAATATAAAACCATTTAAATACCAAGGATTAAAAAATCACATTCATTTAAAGACTACACATAATTCTAAGAACGCTCCAGTAAAGAGATTTTTTAGTCAAATGCTGAAGCGACCAGAACATTCTCTGCAGCCTAACATATTAAATAAATATTTTCTCTTCTATGGTAATATCATTTACTTTGATGCATTTATTTCATAGTTATACATTCAGAGATGAAGCAATGTCTTCCTCGCCTTGTATACAGAAATTCGATATTATGCCAATATCGCACTTCTAGTTTCTTTAAAATGATATAATAAAATGTGCAAAATTTTTGCCCAGCAGAACCTTCTGAAGTTCGATATTTCTGTATTTTTTAAAGCACTATTTAAGATCAAATGCAGAATAGTTCTAAAACATACATGAGAGTTTCCGAAATTATTATAAATGAATTTATTAAATCATAGGTGAAAACTTTCTACAAAAGAATAAAAAAATTTGTGTTTCAAAAAGTAATAACAAATAGGTTTTGCAAAAAGAAAAGGAAAAAAAGAGAGAGAGAGAATTCCCATCTGAATACTTTATAACACTTCAAAGAGTTTAAAAACTGGAAAAGATAACAATATTTTGTTAAAACTATAAAAATCATACTGAAAAGAAATTACAATCTGATCTTGGTAAACAGATTTCACAAGTGGAAATAGACTTATTAATTAAACAGTGTTGTTTTTCTCACAGAAATTACAGATATAAAATATTAAATCTTATATTTAAAATGAGCTTTCAAAATGATAAAGGCAGGGGAAAATGAACATGATATTATTTCATCATAAATGAATGCCATGCGGCGATTTATGTTCCTATTTAATAAAAAAGAGACTTAATTGTCCAAGACTTATTGAATTATTCCACTGAATGGTTTGCGTATGTAACTTAAGTAACAAATATTTTTCTCAAGAGGCGATATTTTTTATTTTTCCAGGTTACCCTATCTATTTATTGGCTACCAAATTTGCTGGAGGTCATAAAAAACCTCTTCGAGCAATTTAAAAAATTTCTTTCTCTTAAAAGCTAATTCATTGCTAAGAGCTTCTTCAAAAGTCTTTTTCCTATTCAAAACTATTGGTGTATAATGTTTCAGTTACATTTAAAGTGACAATTTAACGCTATTACTAGAACTGTTATTTTTAAACGGACTTGTTTTGCATTCCAGTTCGTTCTAAAATCGGCACTTTTGCATCTCCGGAATACATCCATTTCTCATCTGCTCTGCCGAAGACTCGATCTGGGAAAATCCTTCGACGAATATTGAGGAAGATAGCCAATGATGACCACGAACTGGGAGATCTGAGCACTGTGGCCGAAGAATCCATCATCTCAGATCTTTTTATGACTAGGCCTACCATTGTGCGATCATGAAGAACTTGTAGTTGATTTGTTCATTGTTGTATAATAGCTAGACTATCTCACCATGCAGTTTCTTTATGTTCTTATGTATAGAATTTATACTTTTTATTTTTTGTACATAAACTTTTAATGTGCACATGAACATTATTGAACGTTTCATAATTTGTTTTCATCTAGTTGAACCTGTTTATGTTTTTAATAAAATGCATAGCTCTACGTTTCCACTTCTAGTTCTTATGGTATGATAAGGTGTAAGTAGCAAGTTATTCATAACTCCCCCCCCCAAAAAAAACGCCAATGAATACTTACTTTTAATTTTGTTATGCTTTTATCCCTGCCTTTTCGAGCTGATTTTCTCAGCAGCTTTGTCTTTTTCTTCGGCTCTCCAGGCTGTTGAGCAGATTCAAACGCTAAACTATTCTACCCGGGCTCAAATGCCAATGAAGGGGCTAGCTCAAATGCCAGTGAATGGGGAAGTCAAACTAATAATCACAAAAATATGGGCGTTTTCGTGATTTTCTTCATCTGTAGGTAAGCCAGTTTTCCGGAGACAGTTCTTTACGAAGGCATCGCTTTCCCCAGACAGAAAGTTCGTGCGCGCTTTGTCATGACTCAGTAAACTGTCTTTTGTTTCTGTATTTTCTTATTATTATAGTCCCTTGTTATTTAAACCTCGCCAAGAACGCTCTTGTAAGTAGATTGCGCCATAGCTGTAGCCCTACTCATTGCTCTTCGAAAAAAAAAAACATCTCCAAAAAGTTCTCAGCAGAGTTGCCGTTTTGAAGCAGGCCATTAACAAGAACGTTGTTGTTGTTGTCTTCTCCATGAATTTCATGGAAGAAAGGTTGCCAGAGCCTCAAGGATGTTGAACTTCTATTTCCAGCTCAATTTTGAGGAAGAGCACCCCAGCGGGTGGTCCGGAGATCAGTCAGCAATCCTTACCATGGTCACCTATAGTCCATTTATTATGAGAAGCTTTCAGCAGAATTACCGTTTGGAAGCAAGCCATTAACAAGAACATTGTTGTTGTTGTCTTCTCCATGAATTTCATGGAAGAAAGGCTGCCAGAGCCTCAGGGAGGTAGAGCTTCTACTTCCAACCCAGTTTTGAGAGCACCCCAGGGGTGGTGGTCTGGAGATCTCCCACCCCTTTCCTCTTCCACCAAACCACATGACTTTCGGCTCGCCATCTATTCAGAGTGCCTCCATGACTCAAAGACATTATATATTTACAAACATCGATGCCTTCTCTGGGATTTGAACCAGGGCCTTTCGGTACCGCAGTACGCTCCCCTAACCACTATACCGTCTGGGTGGCTAACATGAACGTCGGAAATAATAAAGAAGTACCATTATTTCTTTTTATGTAACTCGGTTTGTCTGTTTCTGATTGGCCGATTTATATTTCGGGCAGGGGGAGGATCAAGCCTTATCAAAATTACCTGTTGACCCCTTTTTTGCTCCAATTTTCTTGAAATTTTTCACATATACATATTTGCTATGCCAATACAGTATTCTACAGGAATTTGCTTCAGAATTCTATATAAATATATTTGTTTTATTTTTATTTGTTATTAGTATTGTTATGTAAACAATTTCGTTTAACAGTCAAACTAATAATCACAAAATTTCAGTTTTCCAACATTTGCTAGATCGAAAATAATCTTCCAAATGAAGATTTTTCGTCATTTCTCTAGTAGTTTTTTTTTTCCCCCAAAAAATCCTTCGATATTTTTAGCTATCATACACTAGCTAAAAATAAAAATTTTTTAATTCAAAAGGTTTAACCCTTCTTTTGAGCAGCTCCATTTTAAATAATGATGAGATCTTATTTCTAAATCAAATAAAAATTTTAATGAAATTTGTCATGGGAAAGACCGGACGATCTCGGAATAATATATCACGCGTTCTGAGTAGGAGGAATTTTCCTACGTTCAGAGGCAAGATGATTTTCTCTTTTTCATTACTTTTCAGAATTTTAACTCCAAGAAAGCATAAATTAAAAATTTTTAGTTAAACTTACTAGGAAATAAAAATAATAATTTTTAACATATTCTTAGTCATATATGAGTAAAAATTATGAAAACAAATACGAGATTTTGCAAAAGTGCTGAACAATTAATCATTAACGTCACTAAATAGTAACTGAAATAGCTGCACAAAGACCATGTCAGTCACGGCAAGCGTTCTCCACAACGAGAAAGCATTTGACCGCTTCCGGCAAAGAGGTCTTATTATTAAGCTGCATCATACTCAACTTTCAACCAGTGAATTTTCATTCAAATTATAAATTAGTAACGGAAAAACAGGACTTCCTAATTAATAACTACAAAAACGCTACTGAAATTTTCTGCTAAACTATAATAACATTCTTCGTATATATACACTTTTATAAAAGGCGTACTTATGCTTTTTTGGACATAAAAATCTCAAATGACTAAAAACTGAAAAAAAATTTATTTCTGAAAGTTTAAACATTATATCCATTATATTATTAGGAATATCGAAGTTTAAGAGTTATAAATTAGTCTTAAGAAATTTATCAACTTGTTTTATGAAATTGCTTTACTTTACTCCCTTGTGGTCTCATTTAAAACATTTGAAATAAATAATTCATCTAGGGCTAAAATTAAATTTTTAGAAGAAACGCTGTCGAAAAGGGGATATATATCTGCATTTTTCATAGAGAGTGAAACTTCTTGTATAGTCTCGTTCAGAAGGGAGTATTGAGAACTTTATTAAACTTAGTTACTGATGCCATTCTGTTATCTTTAAGTGTTTCATAAATTATGCAACGATTACTTCATGCATTTAAATTACTAGCAGCATCCAATCACTGTTTAAAAGACATCTAACATGTGTAATGTTTTAAGAATATCTTGGAACGGTTCACAAGCACTTGAATATCATACAGTCTACATCTATGTTACATTTTAAGTTAGGAATAAAGAGGTAACATTTTGTAGCGGTCTTTGCGGTTATGCCACTAAGTTTGACATTATGTCATTGTTTGCTTTATTAATAAATATTTGTTAAGTCTTCTTTGCATGATTCCATGCTCCATAATATTCCACGAACTGCCTACTTCTATTACGAAAAGTCAGTAAAGGGTGTCTCTCAATTCCACAGAACCACAGTTTTCCTTCAAAGTACAGATGTCTTTTTAATGGGCTTCTCAAAGAGGCGCGAAAGCGAAAGCCAAAGCAGCTGCCAAAACTTCTCCGAACAGGAATAGTACCAAACGTACTTCACGGCTTATTACCTGAGAAGAAATAAAATAAATAAATAAGGTAGAGAAATAAAAGAAAACATATTTTAAAATTAGCAAACACATAAAGTAAAAAAAAAAAAAAAAAAGAGAGAGAGAGAGAGTACAATTAAAAGAGAACACGCTTTTACTGAAAAAATACAAGAAGAATGTCCGTATTGCATGGGTCTCTTTATTAATGTCGCTACTCTTGCAGCAGTTTAATATTTAGGAGTCATATTTGATAGAATACAAGTAGACAACGCAACTGAAAAAAGATTATGCAACTTTCATGTCTATTTGTGGACCCGTAGGTGGAATTTCAGAATTAAATTTTAAAACGAAAAAGAGTACTTCATCTGACCACTGGCCAGCCTGTGCTAATGTATGCAGTCCGTCCTGAGCTACAGAAACAAGACCGCCTGTAAAAAAATAGATGTATTGCAAAATAAATGCCTCAGACGTACTACGGTTGATATCCTATGATTCGTCAGGAATAGGTAATTTCCCAACGGTCTCTGAATTACTTGTTCGCATGATTTCCTATTCGCATCTTTTCTTCGGCAGCATTAGTAAATTGAAATATAGATAGCATTTACATACCCTGCAGAGACATTAGGTTATTTCCACCGGAGAGATGAAAAATGAGCAACGCGTTCGCCGGGAATCGAACCACGGACCACTCAGTTACCTGCTGAGCGTGGAAACATATCTTATATACTCCCCCTTTTAAAGAGCGACTGCGTGTTTTTAGGGGACTCAATTGACAAATCCTGGGTGTGGAGAATCATCATCCACCACCCTTTTAGTTCGTGTGCCACTGTAGAGACATTAGTATTTTTTTGGAAGCAGGAAGAATTGTAAAATGAGCAACGCCTTCGCCGGGAATTGAACCACAAACCTCTGGTTACGCGCCCAGCGTGCAGACAACTACACCACGAAGGTGGGAGAAATACCTTATAACCTTAGTAGACTATGATCGTACTAGTGAATTCATTGCCACCTAGATATGCTCACACTGGCAAATGGAAATTGTTATTTTTATCCCTAACTCCAAGACTAGCTGCTGTTTTACAGCTATCCTCAAGGGCACAGCCTGAGAGCGTAATCCTCCTGAAATGTTCTATAATTTAAAATACATTCAACTCCCTATTCAGCAGGGTAAAACCAAGGCTAACGTCAACGATTACTTCAAAATCATTGTTAATCCTAACAGTTAAAGAAACGCGAGAAAGAGGAATACTATTAATAATTAATCTTTATACTGAAGGAGATTAGTTTGGATAAGTTCATTCGGTTAGTTGAATTAAATTAGTACTATTCAAACGGGGGGAAACATCTTTAGAAATTAAAAAAACTATGTTATAAATAGAATTAATGAATTAGAACGTAAGTTTGTAAGGTATTTCTCCCGCCTTCTTAGCATGCCTTCGTGGTGTAATGATCAGCCCTCTCGGCGCGTATTCGAGAGGTCCTTGGTTCGAATCTCGGCGAGGACGTTGCTCACTTTTCTTGTCTCTTGCTTCGAAATAACCTAATGTTTCTACAATGCCCGAACTAAAAGGGTGGTGGATGATGATACTTCACCACCAGGCGATTAGGTCCCTTAATTCCCAGTCGCCCTTTAAAAGGGGAAGTTTATAAGGTATTTCTCCGGCCTTCGTAGCATGCCTTCGTGATGTGGGAAAGATACCTTATTTACTCCCCCTTTTAAAGGGCAACTGGGGAATAGGGGACGCAATCACCAAATTCTGGTGGTGGAGAAATCTGGTGGTGGCAACATTGCAGGGAATAAAACATTTTTATGGTGACCGGAAAAATGCCCACAGGAAAAATGCTCACAGAATAATGCTCTCAGGTATGAATGCTCTCAGAAAAAAAGGCCCGCACAGAAATATGCCCACATAGAAAAAAACTCACGTGAAAATATGCTCACACGGAAAAATGCTCACATAGATGTATGCTCACATGGAAAT